TATAAGCAGGCACACATAAGACACTGCTACAACACAGTCCAGAGCCTGAATGCTACTGTGGCTCTATAAACTCTGATATCCAAATGAGCAATGGCGTCCAGGTATAGCGCATGCGTGTTGTGGCTCTTTTGGGCATTGGCACAGTCTGACACCTGTCATATGGTCAAGCCAGCAGGCGAGAAAAAACAAAGTCAGGTTTTCACACCAGCCATACAGTGTTGATGATGAAGCAAAATGTCTCACCAGCGGTCAGTGAGCATCTGTTTCTCATAGTTCTGGATGTACAGAGGAAAGTGAGCAAGAAAAGAGAAGCAGGACTGTAAATACGTCACTAGAAAACACATTAGGAAATACAGGATTTTTACTGAAAACTTGCTCTGCTGGCAATGATCTGCTTAGTACTAATGATGAAATAATATGTGCTCATGCAATGCTTCAAAAGTAGGGCTGCAAAAATGGCAATATTGCAGTATTGGCAATATATATACTACATATATTGCAATAATACTAAGGTTCTCCATCTAACATAAACTTGCTGTTCTTGTTATTAAAAGGTATAAAATGCTTTAATTTTGTTCTTGTTTTAGTCAATCAGGTACTGTCAGGTGTGATACAATTTGACATGTAAATTGAGGACATTTTTGTTTATATTCAACAGAACGTTTTGTGTCAAGATGTATATTAAAATATTATAAATGTTGTTATTACAATACTTTACATAGTTTGTCTTTGCTGTAGTATTAGCTGCAGACACATAAACAAAGTACCCGGCTGTGGAGGAAGTTAAAGGGAAAGTACCTCTGAAGAAAACAACAACAGTGGAGCTGCAGCCCTGACAGCTGTTCACTGAGGGATCACCCTGTACCACAACAACACGCACTGATAACTGACTGATCAAAACTACACAGTAGATGCAGATTATGTGCGCAGTAAAGAAAGTTGCAGATTTCAAGGTGTATTATCTTATTTGATTATTGTATGTATTCAGTAAAGTGCATGCCTAATAAAAAAAAAGTTATTTTAGTCAGTTGACTTGATTCTATTGTGTTTTCAGTTCGGTTTGTGGTATCAGAATCAGTATTGTTTTTGGCCTTTCCCTTAACTTTTTAGTATCATGACATGAGTTAAGAGACAAACAGTCTGTCTCTTAAAAGTAATTAACTCAGGTTGGACATTACAAAATTGTTCCATGTCAATCACATAGAAACTTTGTATTTCCTTTGATGTGCATTTACAAAACACATGTGCATACAACAATATAACACTGTATAGAAGCCTTCTGCAGGTCTTGTCAAAACTTTATCTTTTAATGTCTGTACAAATTCTTCATTCTTTGGGGCTATGATAGGAGTCGCGTGCCCACCCATCTCCACCCATCCTGAGCACAAACCACACACACACCCTGACCCTGCGCGAGCTCTGTATCTGACTGCAGAGGGGACCCCGAGTCAACAAAGCACTCAACCACTCCAACCCACGCCTTGTCTAGTCTCATATGTGCATAAAACTGTGCTTTTTATTATTCTTTACATGATTTTCTACTTCTTTGTTTTGAGCACCTTCTATCATTTGAACTGGCTGGAAAACAAACAGCCACATCTTTAGTTTCTTCACCCTTGAGTTCCGACAGAGTAGTAACTGACAGGGCTTGGATGAGTTAAAGGTGCACTGAACTACTTTTCTGGTAGCGGATCTGCCACCTGCTTGTCTCCATGCTGTTATTGCTTTCCCTGGAATGTTCCATAATATGACATTAAACATATACATCTAGCATTTATTCATTACAGATGATTATATTGCTCATAATTACAATAATTCCTTCTGTGAATAGGGTATTCTCTCCATAGATCTGAATTGTAGTATAGCATAGTGCTGTAACCTGCTTATCTGATTTAATCTATACTATGGAACTTTCTAGACAAAGCAATAACATTTCCATGGAGACAAGCAGGTGGCGGACCCTCCACTAGAGATGTTACACAGTGTAGTTTTAATGTAATTTTAGTCAAATGCTGGACAAAACATAGGTTTGTGTTAAATTGAGATAAAGAATGAGGAGAGACATTAGCTTCTGTTCTTTGTGCAAAACTACTCCAAGAGCATTAAAGTAAAGTGTGTGACAGATTTTAATGATTCTCTAATTATGACTTTATTTGTTGGGATTATAACTATTGTAAATATAAATTATAGTTTTACACCAATCAAAAAGTAATTTGCAAAGAAAAGTAAAAAAAATAGGTTGAAAATTACAGGAAGTGGAGAGTTGATGATATCACACACTATTCAGTGCAAAAGTTTGGCACATTTTACACAGGAAACACATTTTTTCTGACTCTTTAAACATGATTTCAACCAAATAAAGTTGTTACGGTAGAGGAGTCTTGCTAGTTAACAGGTATGGTATTCTGTAGTGTGACATCATGATTTCCAAGTAGTCCAGGAAGCAAAGTTTTAAACCTAAAAAATTGCGAAATTGGGTGAGTAGTCTAACTTGTCATAGGTAACATTCAAGTCTGAAGTATGAATGCATGTTTAGACAGTTATTTTTTAGCAATAAAAACATGCATTACTGAAAAGGTTTAATGCCATACTATGGAACATTCCAGGCAAAGTAATGTCTCCATCGAAACAAGTAGATAGAGGACCACCCTGAAGTCTGAAGTTATACAAGCATCCCATGCATTCCTAAACTTGAGGTGTAAGCAACAACAAGATTTTTCAATAAACAGATATTTAGTTTTAGTCTAAATAACTGCAGCCTTTGTGATTTGATAATGGAGCCGACTCAAATTTTGACTTGATTGTGATGTATTGTGGAGCCCTGGTTGCTATATCTTCTCAGTTTCATAAAAAGCCTTCATGCACTATCATTTCTAGCACTGATAATAGCTCCCCTAATGTTTCTGTGCATGTCAATAGGGTATCGTGTAACAGGTTGTGGTTGCCTTCAGCAGGATTCCCGCTGACTTGCTCTGACTATGCATTATGAACCATGTCTCGTCACCGCTCCATGTATTGATAAGTGAAAGTGGTGCAATGCTCGGGGGAACTCCCAGCTGCAGTCCCTTATATGCAAACGCACACACATACACCTGTCGCTACGGGAAACCACCTGACATGAATCCATTATTCATTTGAAGTTTTAAAATGGGAGCTATTTGGAAAGTGGGCATCCAATGTGAGTCATATCCTCTTCGATGTGAATGTGAGGAGAGGGCTCTGTGCAAACACAAGAGGCATATTTGTACACATCCTGATCATAAACTATCTTTTAGCTGTGCGCTCTGTAGAAATGAAACTCTCATTAGTCATCATGAGTCATAAAGAAACTAAACAATTGCCCAAAAATCAAACATAGTAAAATGAATGAATAAGTTCGCCTAGCTTGATGATAGGTGTGATCAAGCGAGGAAGTGAATAATAAAAAGCCTATATGTCACTCTCTGAAAAAGCTGTTTTACTGGTTCCATTTTAGGGGCTAATGAGATGCACAACTAAGAAGCTGAAGGGCAAAAGCGTAAATACTTTGGATGGGTTACATGGTTCATCTAAAAATTAGCATTTTTGGATTGAGAGCCAATTTGAACACACTATGTGTTTATCTGCGTAGACAGTGTTTGTGTAGTAGTGTAGGAGCAGAACACGAGGAGTTGTGACTACAGACGTAATGAAGGGAGTGAATGAATTTCTTAAATCATGATTTGGCAAGTTTTAGATAAAGTTTCCACACAGTGCCAAGTTGCAAATTAAAATGCAGCCAATTTATCTAGTCACAACACTTCATTATGTTAATACTATTTGAGTTTATCCAAATTGTAGAAGCTCGTAAATTTCTTTTAAAAATATAGTATGCATTAGGTAACCTTTCTGGAGGGGGGTATGTTGTATTTATTGCTTTGCCTAGAGTGTTCCACAGTATTTAGCAAAATATAATTATCCAGTGATGCTACAAGGCCTAGTTACAGGTCTGATCAGTGGAGGGGCGACCCACCTTACACAAATGCATGCTTTTCGATGAATTTTTTTGAACAATAAAAACATACGGTAGAACATTTAAGCCAATACAATAACAGCAGGTGGCAGACCTTTCAAGAGAGAAGTTACAGTATACTGGAAAAGACACACATTTTGGCTAAGGTTGTCAATAGGCCCGCGGCAGACGTTTTTGGGAGGGCATGAGGATTGCAAAACAGGAAACACAAGGCCCTGATAACTCTGGTACATTTCTACTGATACACAACTGTGACACAAACTATTTAGTAACGAGGTGAAGTAACAAAGATAATACATGTGAGTGTTTCAAATGGATAGGGGCATTTACTTATGTCAATACACCTCACCTCAATAAGGACACGGCAAACAAACCTACAACTGTATGTACCCCTGTGTATTATTATGAAAAATGCTTTGTCCAGAAATTGAATACCAGAGGAGATGGGAACAGAAACTGGAGTAGGTGCTCACAGAGATGGACGATTACCTCCTAGCACTCACCTGCGCACTCATGTTGTTCATAATGAGTGATAATACACAAACACTGGGCTCTGAGGCTGGGACGTGTCAGAACAGGAACACAGATGGGGGTGACTGGAACAGGATTTCAAATGTACGCGTCCAACCGGTCAGACGGCACACAGCAGCCATGGATCACGAACACTGGGCCTGTCACCATCAAGGAATTATTGCTGCATTCACCAAGAGGACAATGGGATCAGAACTACTTTTTGGTGGTGCTCTTGTGTCAATAGCTAAGAGTTTATAAAGTGGAGTGTATATAGCAGGTGACTAAAGTATAGCTAACCTGTAATTTCATAGTCCTTTAAGTCTTGGTTTACATTAACCCATACAGACATCAATGCACAAGGAATCAAAACTCAAAATCAGTCAAAACAGTAACAGTAATCCATTTACAGCTATGTCAAAATGAAAGGAGAGCAGAGAGCAGGCCTCAAATGAATACAATAAATATGACCGTGATGAAATTAAATGTACTCATGTCATACTATATAATTAATTCATAGTTTATTCCTTTTTCAGGCACCATGCACAATTCAATCAGTCTTACAAAAAAGAAAAGAGGATTTCTACCAGATTTAGCTACTTTATATCTTCTATGGGTAAGTAATTTGTTATCAGATGTTATGGATGAATTCACATCAACAAAACATTTCATTTAATAAATATGTTTTTAATTATTTGAGTGACATATAAAACTGTGTAAATATTATAGTGTTTAAAACAAGTACAAATTTTGTTTGATCACTTTCCAAATAGAACACTACATAATATAAAGTAGACAAAAGACGAATAACTTTTGAATCTCTCTTAGATGGCTGTAATTACATTTGCTTTGAGGTCCTTTAACATAGAGGGCATAAACAATAGCAGTACGTTCTGGAGGCCTCAGGAGCTGGCCCCACTCCAAAGCCCTGCAGTCAAAAAGCCTTTTACGAGTGCCACACATATCCAGGTTTTCCCGTTCTTTTCTCTTCACTTTGGAAACCCGCCAACGTGAAGCCGGCTCTCCCTTTGCCCCTCCTGCCTCCAAGTTTCATCTGAGTTTCGTGATGCAACAAAACTATGACAAATGCACATTGATTTAGAGTAGGATTTAAAACCAATACATGTTTGACTTTAATGGTACACCTTGTAACTTTTGTGGTTTTGTGGTCTGCAAAATTTCTCCAGGGAAATATTGCTTTGCCTGGAATATTCCACAGTATGGCATTAAATATTTTTAATTACACATGTTTTTATTGGTCAAAAATAACTGTAAACATGCATTCATAGAGTGAGTGGAGTCACTTCCTCACAGATCTGACCTGTTACTTGGCCTGGTGGCACCACCTGATTTTCACCATGGGACAAATAACTTCAATACCAAACCAAAAAGATTATAGGCTAAGCAATGTCATCGCCATGGAGACAAGCAGGTGGCCAAACCTCTGCCAAAATGTTACATAGAGCATCTTTACATAAAATTTATTTTATTAATGGTACACAAAAAATCAAGTGCAGCAGCTATTTCTGCCAGTGTTACTACTAACCTGTTTTACAGCTATTTTGACTACGGCTAATAATGTTTACCAGATTCAAGAATCGTTGCTACTATTAGATTACAATTTTGCAACTGAAGCATGAAAGACAATTTATTTTACGTAAGAAAGTGCTTTGTATGTTGGTTCTTTTCCACCTCCATGGCAGTCATTAATACTGTAGTAAATATTAGCTTTATAATTACGTTTATTACTGCAGTGTGCTTTGTTTGTGGAGGGGGCTCTGTGAACAGGATGTCACTGTGCAAACGCCTCACTGCTTCTTTAGTTTGTGTTTGTTCTGGAGCTGAAGCACAGGCCTCTCGGTACAAGCCCCTGGTCCAGGCACATGTGCAGCTGTCAATCACCTCTATAGTCCCACCCACCAAAATACAGATCCAAACCTCAAGTTGGAATTTACTTTGTGCTAATCCTTTGGGGTGTATACTTGTAATAAAGATGTATCCCGCTGAATGGGCGAGTTGGCAGGCAAACGCAGCCAAATGCAAAAGCTATGCAAAGTAGATGCAAAGAGTGAGTCAGGCCAATGGAAAATTTCTACTTGGCTGCAAGACATATTTTTCCATGGGTTAATGTCAACTACACTTCGTCAAATCTCCCTTGTTGTGAAGAACAAAAACAAAAGGTCTTTTTTTCATTATTATTAATCATGTCTTGCTATGACAACTTAAATGTGTCACATTATGGCCATATTTGTTACATTCACCTTGTTTTCTTTTTTCCCCAGTCTAATTGTATACTGGTAATGCAATGATAGAGTTAGCACCGTATAGAAGCAAGAGATCAGGTTCAAATCCTGAATCATATATGGCCCTATTGTTTGGAGTTTGCATATTCTACCTGTGTATGGTTGGGCAGCATCTCCATAAACCTAACATTAGATTAATCCACAGTTATTGTTGTTTGTTTGTTTTTTCTGACTATCTGAATTGGCTCTCCTGTTGACCCTTGCCCAAGATAGTTCCCCTCAGTGATGTTGTCTGTTGTTGTTGGAAAAATATATCCTACCATACCAGCATCATAGAATGTCTTATAATGAACAACAATGTAGTTACACATTTACAATTTCTCTGATGAAAGTTTTGTCATGTGTGGAATAAGTGGTGGGTGATTCCTTCCACCACTTGAGGTCAAAGTTCAAAGTTGTCACGGCTGTTAACATTAGTCTCACCTCCGAGCAGGTGTCTGTCAACAGCAGCTTAGCCCCTCTTTAAAACGATACATAAAAGCCGTGTAGACGCAGCCAAAAGTGGAGTTATTATGGGGCTTTATGAGTGGGATTTGCACTTATTCTTCCTAATGTTTCTTCACAGATCCAGGATGAGGCGGCGAAAGCCTGAAATCCCTCCAGATGCAGCTGATGAGTGCTGTGGTCGGACTGGTCTGACAGCTCCAGCTCCATCCACGAAAACAGCGTGTTCTGGAGAAAGGGAGGAAGGAGGGAGGAGGAAGGAGGAGGGCAGAGGGAGAAGAGCACAGCCAAGAATCAGGTACAAATATACAATACAGGTACAAATAATAAATTAGGTCACACTAGACACGAGGACACTACACAACCACACCTAGTGGCATCATTAAGAAAAAAACAACATTATTATCCTATCATTTTTTTTATCATGAGGTTTAGAGATCAAATTAATAAATATTACTATGAGCGTATTGAGATATTTTGTTAAAGTTGCACTGTGTAATGTTTCTGGTGGAGGGTTTTAAGGTATTTTCAAGCTATAAAACACTTGGTCTTGAGCAAATGCAAGGGACATATGTTTAAAGCCCTGCTGTAAAATAGTCCAGGCAATTTTAAGACGTCATATAACATATATATATCTTTGACTAAATAAAAAGAAATCTGTTTTGAATTTATTAATGTTTTTTTCTGATTCTCTCAGCTATAAGGTTCAGTAGGAAATTTGTAATGAAATTGTAGTTTTTTCATACAGGTTCACAGATTCTCATGATTGGAACAAAGTTTTTACAGGGATGTTTTAGAGGAGTTAAAATGGATTTAAATAAAAAAGTGTGACATGTCTCTATAATGGTTAACTCATCATTTGTTTTGTTCCTAAAGCTGTAGGAGCTGTAATCTATTTTAAGCCGAAAAAATTACATTTTAACTACAAAGAAATATTTTACTTTTCTTAATGGAAAAAACAAATCTGACTAGACAACTCGCCTCATTAAATCCTCACACTCACATCTTTCAGCTATAATTATCAGTGAAGCATTGTTAGTCACTGGCTGTATGTCATGGGATTGCATATTGTCATTATCAACTCAAATCTTGATCAAACTTTTGTGAATAAACAAACTAAGTCATGCATCGTAGTCCTGAGTAGCCCACCTGATGCCTATCTCTGTTTTTCTCATGGAGATCTCTGCTAATCCCTAAAATATTGTCTGCCTGCATCCTTAAGTCTCATCCAGTCAAACCCTACACCTGTCCTGCACCTGAACTACCTCCACCTGCTCCTGTTAGCTCCTGTCCGCTCCCCTGCGTGCTTCCAACCAGTACCGAAAAACGCCGCAGGTTTTCTCGTGGGAAACTCTGGCGCTGGTATGCTGTTCTGTAGGCGACTAGTGAGAGTGGAATCCCGTTTTTCCGGGCCCCATCCCGTTCTCGGTGTCACGGTGCATCATGTCTGGACTCGTAGCGGAGTTAGGAAACATTCTCCAGGATGTGGCCCGGCCTGATCCAGAGCTGAGCGCCGCACCTACTGCCTGGCCTCTGCTGCTCTGTGGGACTGCTGTGAAGTGTGGGCAGTGTTCAACCATTCACTTTCATAATCCCACACATGAGTCAAGCACAAGATCATTATACCATTATGTCCCTTTACTTTGAATGGGCATTCAGAAGGTATTCTAAGTACAGGGTGTGAATGTGCAGGAGATGGAGGCACAGGTTGTTTCCATACTCCAAATAAGAATGATATTACAGTTTGCCAGGCAGGCGACCTTAAAAAAAACAACAACCCACACACACACACATTTTAATACTTTTTTGGTCAAAGGTTCGTCACCTGCTTGTCTCCATGGAGATGCTATTATTTTGCCTAGAATGTTCCTCAATATGGCATCAGAAGACACCACAAGGTGAACTTACAGGTCAAATCTGTGGAGAAGTGACCCCACTCACAGTGAAATTACTACAATATCATCTTCATGAAGATAAGCAATGAGGTTATAACCCCTACCAAAAAGTTCCATAATGCAACTTTATAACAATACACTATATACTATATGAATATAACAAATCATCTTCATTGTTTTAGTAATTAAACCATCTGCTGGGATCAACAATACTAAAAATATTAGAAAAACTTGCCAAAACATTACAGCTTTAAATTAGCAGTGTGTTAGGATTCACACAATAACATCGGGTTGAATATAGACAAGAATTCTTAGTTTTCAAACTTAATGTTATCAAATATGTCACACTAGGACTAAATGTGCTGAAAGTTGATCTGTAAAATAGTATTTCATTGTGGTAAAATCCAGGGTTGAAACTGCAATATGTTTTTAAAAAGTGTCCGTTTGGTTTTATTAACTTCCTCATTCCCTCTTCCCTCTCCATGTTTCCCAGAAATAGAAAGAGAAAGCATTCTTATGAGATTACCATCACTATTGTCACATGCACTATAGTATAATTACTGTATGGTAGTATAGTATAATAGTATGTTACGTAAAGTCTAGAGCTATGTAAACTCCACACTTTCCAACAACAACAACAAGCCTTACAAGTGCGTGTACACGTAGCTGTTTTAGTCATTATGAAAAATATAACTTAGTATTGACTACATGATTACTATTGATTTACTGATTCAAATGATCATGTGAGGAAAACAAAATACAGTTAATACACTATTATTGATGACTAATGTTTATGATAGACACACTCATTCATACTCAGAAACACAGATGTACTTGGAAGCGTATTGTCTTAATAAACAAATAAAAAGATCAAATCTACACGGATATAACGGCTCTTTGCTAAATTGACTGTAACACAAGTTGATGTTTAAGAATATAAGAATAATTTGGAGGAAAACTTACAACGAGATGATTTGGAGATGATCCTGTGACATGAGCAGGAAGTGGACAGTCTCTAGATGTCCAGTCACTGATGGACTCTGCGCATGTCTCATCCTCAAAAACAAATATGGTATTAGCTCTTCGACAATGACATAACCCTCACAGTGCAGCACAGAGAAGTGGAAAAAGTCTTTCTTAATAATACATACTGCATTATATTTTTGTGTTTTATTTCATTTTATTTTTTTAAGTTCAACTATTAAGTATTTTCTTCATCTAAATGAGGGTGGTATTTTCATTTTTCAAATGTAGGCATTTTTTAGGCAATTTAGTCAGTCTCAACGAATTAAACCAAATTAAAGAACTGAGTGCCGAGTGTGATTGAATGTCATAACAATACAAGAATTAGTCTATTATTTTTGTGTCAGTGTATATATTTAATTTAAAAATGTAATGTAAAATAATATTGTGGCTGTGCAATTGCAGACAGAACACAAAAAATGATTGAAAAGTGCAAAGTAAACAGATGTAGAAAAACAGCTATCTGCTAACTAACAGCCTGTTACTCACTCTGTACACAATGTGCCTATATGTCTATCAAATATAGTGTTACATAATGTGATTATTTCATTTAATTACTTGGACAAAGAGAAGTCTGGTAAAAGAGGAATCATCTATTTTATTTTGAAGGAAGTATTTTGGTGGCAGGGGGAAGAACGTGACTATAACATAATTAAACTAACTTTGTTGTGTATCTGCTCCGTTTTAGATGGACAATGCAGCAGACCACAGAAAAAGAGGAAACTCTCTCAATGAGGTGAACAATACTTGACATATCTTGACATATTTTTTACTACACACTTCCCCTGTTTGTGACAACTTCCTCCGCAGCCGCACAAGCCCATGAATGAAGAAAGATGTGTGTCCGGAGAAGGAGAGAAAGGAGGTGCTATTTTGCAACAAGAAAGCGGAAGGCCCACTCTTTTGTGATGCAATTTGGATAGTCACTGACCACATATCTAATCCAAATGTTCTTGTATATGCAAAATTACCATGTACTGCCCGGATGGTCGTCCCAGGTGAGGGGAGGCATGACGGAGCACGCATACAGGCTACTCCTCCTCCTTTGCATACTCATTTGCCAGTCAAATGAATTCACCTGGGAACACATCAGGGTTACACATATCCCCCACAAATTATCAGTTTTCCATCTGATTTATAATTTTTATTTATTTATCTATTTTTACCTGGAATCAACAAAACAAATTTTTTTTTTTTTTTTTTTTCAGCAGGTCTACATGCTTTCCTCTGTCAGTGAAACCATGACTCCAAATAAGTCACATTTTTAGAGGCCTAAAATTTACTGTTTGCTTGTGCTTTTTGTGTATTAAATGCATTTTGTTGATGTTCATGAAATTAACTGAAAAGCTTGATTTATAAATTTTTAATATGAAAATTTTAAAAAATCAATCAAATCACAGGGAAAAATATACAGCATTATGTCAAAACTGGAACAGTGGAGTTAGTCACTAGAGCAGTGAGGTTTAAATGAAGTCCTTCTCAAACACAGACATACAGTCTAATTTACATAAGTCACACCATACATACATCAAACATGATTTGTAGTCCAATGTTTAAGGTCACTCATCAACAACCTGCTATGCTAACTACAAAAGATTACCCACAGTGCACCTCTCATTCAGTTAAGAGTAAAGATTCCAAACAAGGGTTACCATTTAGCTGTTATGAAAGCCTTCCCAGAATCTACATTTGACTACATGTAAATAGGCTGTTCTGCCTTGAGGGGGGGTTAAGTCTAAAGAAAACATACAGACCTTTCACCTAGAATGAACTAATGAATTAATGAACTACAGTTTGTTTTTATTTAGAGGCAATAGACCCCTTGTTGAACCCTAGCTGAAGAAAACGGGATAAAAGTGAATGTAGAATAGGACCTGAGGGGCAAATTTGATTGGGCTGCAATGTATTTGTATATGGGATTACTAGAATGTAGATAGCTATTTCAAAGTCTGCTTTTATACTGTTGTCATTTCAGATTTTTTTTATTTATATTGAAACTAGAAAATTAGCCACTGCATATAACAGTAAAAGGATGTAGTTTTTTTGTGTGTATGTCTGTGTGTGTGTTTGTGTATTGCTCTGAAAATTTTATTTTAAAAACACGTGTCCTTACAGTCAGCAAACTTGACTCACTTGGCTGCTTATTTCCTTGGAAATGTTGTTCCTTTGTCTATAATCTTATCTTTCTCCATGGAAATTATGTTTTTAACTTTCTATTTTCATGGAATTATGCAGGTGTCACTTCCAGAATGTTATACACTGTACCTTTAACATGGTTCAAATCAATATCGTAGTAATATAAATTTCATGATAATTTTGAAACTGTGGGATAGGCAGTGAGCAGTGAGTACATTTTACACTCTGTATGCAAATAGCAACACCCTATGGCTGACTAAAACCTTAGGTTAAAATCTGTAAATGCTGTTTTCACTGTTTTGGGTGATTCAGACTTCAATGGAGTCACTTTGTAGCTGTCTCTTGTCTGTCTCAGCCCTAATCCTACACAGGCGAATCGATGCATACAGGCTTTACCAGTAATAATTTGCACCCTGAGCATCCCAAACCACAACAAACATTACTCATAACCCCAAAATCCGGACAAAATAAACATATGGCTGGATAGTCATCTACACACCTTGTTTACAGCTGCAACAATATTACCGAGCCCGTATTAATGTTACTAAGGTGGTAATATGATTTGGCTAATAAGGCAAAACTGGTGGAGCAGGTTGGGCAGGTCAGACACTGCCTGTAAAAACAAGTGCAAAAGAAGGAACTTATAGGAAACCTCTGGTCTTCACCTGCACCGGGGCCTGAGGGAATAGGACAACAGGTGGATTTGTGGACGGATCTGGATTAAGATATGAAGTCATTGGATACATTTATTCAAGTTAGGCAGATGAATAACAATGCAATGTCTACTTTTACATCTATGAGATCAGGGTATAAGTTTCATTATTGTAGAATGGTGATTATAATCAACAAAATGAGTCAGTGGCTGTGGCATTACTAGTAGTAGACCCAAACGATGTGGTAGTGTTAGCAGTAATTCAGATGCATACATACTGAGAAATGGCTTTTCATAAGTAAAAGACTAAAAGGTCAAAGGTCATGTTATTGTCTCTACAACTTTCACACAAACTGTAAGGTCAACAGTTCAAATGCTGACGCTGAGTTCATGGTCAAGACACTTCGACAAATCGCCTACTACAGTGACAGTATGAGACTAGCTGGGAAAATGAGGACATTGAAGTATTAAAATCTGCCATTGTAAGAAATAAATTAAATCAATTAAATTCTTATTTTACTAGCTACAGCATCAGTAGTTTACAATGCATTAAAAATAACAGTTCTACTAATGTACGGCATTGTATGGAATAACCTGACCAAGTTACAGGTTAGATCTAGCGTAAGGAGAGCCTTTCCACAATAACAAATACATGTTTTTCATGGCATTGTTAAAGCAACAAAACAAAACAAAAAAGCAGTAAATAAGTAGTTTAATTCCATACTGTGGAACATTCTAGGCAAAGCAGCAGGTGACTGACCACACCACTAGAATTATTTTGATATAAAGTAGTAAATGAAAGTAACAGTAGTGCAAATAATAAGCTCTTAAAAGGTTATAAGACCTAAGGACATGTTTATTCCAAAAGGCCTACTAGTACCTTTTTTATTACCATTTTAATTCTATATTTTCCATGATCTTGTACTGCTAATTATGTAATTATTTTTGACTTTGACTTATTTACCTGCTGTAGCATTTTGAGATTTTCCTCAAATATAAAATGCAATATAAAAAAATGTATTATTATTAAGACAACCCCACAAAGTCTGCTGGCCATTTCGAAAATTATTCTTATAAAGGACCATCAAAAAACTGAGAGAAAGAACTAATTATTAATTTTATAAGTCTAAGTCTAATTCTCATTTATTTTACCTGCTGTTTTTCCCGTTATGCTATTTCAGATCTGTACTAAAATGTCCCAAAAGTCTAACAAATCTGTGCATGCATTACTATTGAAAGGCCATGTAACAGCTCAGCTTACTCAGAAGTGGAGGTACATTTGTTGTAGGTGGATACAGTAAGATCAGATATAGATTATCTTAAGGTTATGTATGTGTACGTGTTACTGTACATATTAAAATTAACCCTTTGTTTCCCCTTCGTGAGCGTTCAGTCATTTCAGCACTGTAAGAGATTCGTCGGAAAGCACCTTATTTATCTCTATCGAGTGTGACTTGCTATGTGGTTATGTCCAGAGAAGTGACAACTGCTTTAACCATTTGGCTGCCAAAAACAACCCAGACAATGTGACACAGATGCTGCTTCAGAAGTTTCATTTTTCACTTTCTAATGTCAAAATACCAGACTCTAACTTAGAGACAGAAAGTTGTAATTTGTTTAAAGACAGAAAGTGTCATCTTTGTACACGTAGCTGTTGATTTAAAAAAAACAAAAAAAAAAAAAAAAAAACACAAAAAAAACTGCTTTTCCAGTTTGGGCTTTGGAGGTTGATGGTTATCTTAAACTGTACGGTCTAGTGGTATTTTTTCAAAGGGAGTGGTATCGTGACAACCATTTAAAAAGGGGGCAAAAGGGGGGCTGTATTTGCACTGTCAATATTTACACTGACATATAATATTTACAGATGAATTTTGACTGATGGGGATGAATGGTGTAGAGACAATGATAGCTGTCCAAGCTATGATCTCTCCAACTGAAGAACACACTTTATCTCGGGAGGTCATGCAAGTACCCTGTATAATGAAGTAATAGGTGACCAATCACAAGAGAGAGGGCATAATCTGTACCGACTCATTTGCAATGGAAATGAATCGCATGCAAATCAGGGATAGTGGGTCCTGCTGTTTATGCCCTGCAGTCTTTGTCTCAAACTTGCTCCAGCGTCTTGCAAGATACAACCACATCAATTACTAAGTGCACTCCAAATGGCAGGCTATACCAAATAGGCTTATGTAGGCCTATTCAATACAAAGGTAGGCACAAACAAATAAGCTTAAATGCCCCTCCCATAGATTTAGAAAAGAGTTAAATCATTTTCTTTAAGGGAATAATCAAAATACAAGTTTGACCACATTTGCTGTAAAACAATTAGGATATTTTATTTTGACTACTGGAATAAACAATATATGATTCTACAAAAATGACTTCTTGAATTCATGGGCCTATATCACTATTCTGAAGACTATTATTCTTCTAACTTCAGTTTTACTCAAGTCAATCTTAGGTTTCTTTTTATGCACTAGCGCCCCCGGGGCCACATCTCAGTGTTGACAGAATAAACAGAGAGGAGCCACAATGAGCCCCCCGGCTCCCAAAGCCCACTGCTGTGAGTTTGTCTCCATCTAGAGTTTACTTGGTGAACTGAAAAAAATTAAATAACTTGAATGCCTGGCTCAATGCAAAGCTCATATCTTCTTTTTCTTCTTTTGCTATATACACCTAAAGTTTTAGATAAACAATTAGTAATTATTGCTCTAACTTTTATTTCAATGCAAACATTTTGCTGTAAAACTGAAGAGCTAATAAGACCAATAAGGATTGACTAGCTAAAAACTTAAGCTCATTTTGAGTTGGTATACAATTCTTGAAAATTCAAGGTTAATGCTATTTTCTTGAAAGAAAGAAAAACACAAAGAGTAATTTTAACTAAAAACATTTTATTTTTGTTCACAGTGCTCAGAGGTTGGTTGTCATAACACAAAGGTACAGTCAAGATGTCAATTACAGTACCCCTTATTTATAAACACACATATTCAGTTATTCTAATATAGTTAATACTGCAGACATCAATCCACATCCAATAATGTTAGCTACATATAAAATGATTGTTAATGAATTATATATTACTAAGCCAATTGTTTTTCTTTTGTTTTCACAGTATTGAAGTACCCTGAAACAAAGCTTATAATCTCAATTAAATCATTTGTAGGCTTAACCCAAGACAAGAGACTAAGAATATCCAGTGTCAGCACCTCTGGCACTCAGAATAACAAGCAATACAACTTTGTACTTTAGATTAAAAATGATAAGAAACATTGGGCCAGCTGCAGACCAACCCCTGTTTTTTTTTGCTTTTGTTTTTTTGTTTTTTCTTTTGGTCAAATCCTGCCCATATTTAATGTAATCTCATCAGTGACAATTGCAGTATAAATGTACATATTGTATTTTAGGGAGTTATTTAACATATGTAACATAGAAAAAGTAGTATTTAAAGACATGTATTTGTAGAAGCAGTAGTAGTAGTTGTGAAACCAGGTTATGGCTCAATGACCCTGTATCGGGAATCTCAGAGGTATAAGATTACAAGGCAGCCTGCTGTCTGGACTTGGTCTGTACAAAGAGTCAAATACATTTAGGTAGCATAGACAAACAAGGTTACAGTTCAAAAGACGCTGGTTTGACAAAAGATTGACATCATAACAAAAAGTCATCTTCAAATGAATGGAATGAGATTTGATGTTGCTGTAGCAGTATCAAAAACAGTGACCAAGACTTGAGCAAAGCTAATTTTAACTTACAGAGTACATACATTACATAGAAAATATGGCCACTTTCATCTCAACAGTGGTCTCATTTTATTGCACTGCAGTTCAGTGATAAAAACGCAGAATTTCACAATACTTACAAGACATAATCCCATTATTTAACAAGTGATCTATATCATTACATTTATTATAAGATGTCATATTATAAAGCTTGGTCTAGTTCTGTGGATTGGAAGACGTATTATATTGGTCTCTGGTGAAAACCTTATCTACAGTTAAAAACAAGTTGAACTCTGCTTTTAAAGGATACCTTGAATAAACATGTAAAGGTATTATTAAATAGATTAATCACTCATTAAACACTAATTTTAATATACTGGAGTTGGAATATACAGTAATAACTACTCACAATGTGCCTTTAAAATCGTTTATATTTATATTAAATATATTAGTAATTAGTGACATTTTAAGTTATAAATTGGCCCTTGTTTGTCTAATATACAGTGCAAGTGTCAAAATGAAACTTAGTTGAGTAAATTGACATGTTAATTCAAACTCTATATCAGTACAGTGTTTGTGAAGGCTGTGTGTGCTTGTCCAATGTACAAAATGTCCCAAGGTCTGACCCAGGTGCTGTTAAGGCTTTTGCTTGACATTGTTTTGTATAGTGAGGCTGTCAGAAAAAGATGCACCCAAAATGTGTATTCTAATTCTAAGTGTTACATACACATTGCTTAGTTTGGCATGTGAATTGCTGAGGTTGTATGTACATGTAATAATACAGTATATCGCACAACACTTAATGGCTCTTGTTTGCATTGGTGACTTGGTTTGCATCCCACTTCATTTTATATATTAAACCATCAAGACAAATTTACAGTACGGGTTAAAAACGCACTTGAGTGAAAAAAGACAACACGTATGAAATAGCATCCATATAAGTGCAGGCTGTACAAAGTAAGAAAAAAGTGGTAATAGCTTAATACGTATTGAAAAAGCATAGTAGATAAGACAGAGATACAGGGCATATCTCTTGAACCTTTCTTATCATGTTAACATAGTTTCCAACATTGTCCAGCTGACATATACATTATTTTGGCTTCTTTATTGAAATAGCAGCATCGTCCCACATATATTAATCTTCAGTGACCCCTCTATTCATTATGACGTCACAAGTTCACAACGTCATTTTGGCATTTATTTACTAAGATTTCCAACAATCATCTTTCATTTATATTATTCTGCAGTGCTACGCAGCTCCTCTCCAGCAGGGGGAGACATTCATTGCAGACTCGGGCTTGAACTCCCACTCAGGGCCCAAGAAGGGACCTGAGACAAGCCACCCAGGGGAGACACCATTCAGGAGGAAATTCAAGGAGGTGAACAGATCTCCTCTCCTCCAATCGGAACAGGAATACATCAGCCCCTAACGTCAAAAAGCATGGTTAGGGTATGTCTCCATCCCCTCCGCCTTCTAGCTCTGCCTCCTCGTCCTGGGTGTCTGTTGGGGAGTGTGCGAATCGAAGGCGGGTCCAACGAGCTTTGTTCTTGTGCAGGTGACCCATCATAGTTTGGCTCAGCAGACTGGCCTCTGTGAAGCGGTGCCACTCTTCAAACAGGGGCTCCACAATGTATGAAATAAAGCCTAAGAGGAACATGAGGACTATGTATTAGATTAAAGTAAATGATTTTAAAGTCCGCATTTTAAGAGAAAATTGATCACATCTGTATAAAGATGTAGCTCAGGAGATGTGTCTAAATTACCATTCTGAAACCCTTCATTGTGCCAGTTGTAACATGCAAAATGGTATTATTGTTGCTATTAATTTTGCATGAAACTACAAACCAAATAATGTTTTCTATATGGAAAACTCATTCACTCCTCCACCATATAACTTACCTATTTGAATGGCTGGGACAGAGTCAGTATGTTGATCACACAAGGGGCTAATTTCCAAGTCAAACTTCCTCTCCAGATCACCTGTCAATTAGAAAACTATTTACTCACAGATAAAAACATTGCTATTAATACTGTAATAACCCTGTGTGTAAAACCAAACCCCTGACAAAGCAAATGATAGATACTACGATAAAAATAAACCTAGTAAGTATATACTGTGTATACAGATATAGATAGATAGATACAAAGATATTGACATATTGCTATGAAACTAAAATGAAAACGATAAACATAGTAAAACAATAAACAATAAAACAGGGTTATGTGGTCATGTGGTCATATTTACTTTAAAACCATGACCTCATGAGGAATGTGAACAACATCACACCAGGGACAGTTAATATCAATAATTCATAACTGTGCTGTGTTTCTCCGCAGCAAGCACTTTTCACAAGAGACAAGGACGCACAAAGTCATGCCTATTTGTTTCTATTATGGACATGACATGTATTTTCTCCAGTATAAAAGGTACTCACCCTGCCTGTAAAACTCTTCACAGACCCTCTCGCTCCACTGACGGCTCAGCTCCCAAACACGGCATGGGTTACACACATCGGCACATTTCAGAGCAATCTATAAACAGGAAGAAAATATTTGTATATCCTATGTATATACCCAGGGTAGTCGAGGGGGGGGACAAAGGGGTCTGTTGTCCCAGGCCCAATGGTCTTAGGGGCACAGAAATGGAACCTCTGCCTATTAATTAATATTACAGGGTTACCCATGTGAGTTCTTCTCGTCCCGGCCCCCCAAATTTATCTTGACAGGACTGTGTATATCCTATAAGAAAGTGTTATTTGTATTTACAACAACCAGCGCTGCCTATAGTGCTTCACACAGGTGAAATAAAACAATGAAATACAATGCAAAAGACAGGAATAAGCAAGAGAATGCAAAAGAAAATATATAAAAAAAACAAAAGCATTTCATACATAAAGTGAAACTCAGCTCTTTAGTTAGTAAAGGCCAGTGCAAAAAAGTGGGTCTTTAATAACAATATACAATTGTCAAAAGAATGTGTTAGGAGTAATTTGTTCCAGAAGTGCATTACTTTATTAATAACAAGAAGTGCACCGATCCGATACTGGTATCAGATACCGAAAAATTTGCTGGATCATTATGACCTTCCAAATATCGGTTTGGTTGGTATCCTGGTTGAATATATAAATCTATGTAATTAGACTATTTGCTCCTTAGTTTTTAAAGGCCATTGCAAAAAGTAGGTCTTTAATAACAATATGCAAGTACCAAAAGACTGTGTTAGTGGTAATTTGTTTCAGAGCCCACAGAAAATGCTCAGTCGCCTCTGGTTGACCAATTTAAAGTCCAAACACAAAGTCTGTAGTGCGTGTGTACCTGCAGTATAAAGTGCCTATCAGAGGGCAGCTGCAGGTCCAGGTCCTGCTGGTCCAGGTGCTCTCTTAGGCTCAGGAGGAACTCGTTCTGTCGGCTGATGTCTGTGGCCAGGATCAGAGAGCCCAATTGCTGCTCGATGTCCTGCCTGCCACACACAACACCAGAGGTAGAGTTTAAAAGAGCACTATGGAACTGCCTCCTGCTTGTTTAATGCCATATTTGGGACCATTTCAGACTGGGCACTGTCCAGAGAAGTGCTTCTGGGACATGGTAAATGTGTCATTATGAAACACTTTCACATGAAGGTTAATCAGTTGGATTTGAATTTGATACTAATAAAAGAACTACAATACCACATAGTAAAACTGTAAAGTGAATAAAGTGAATAAAGAGTGTGGTCTTACGACATGTCCGGAGGCAGGTGAGACAGCAGGCCGGACTCTCTCAGCATGCCCACAGTGGACCTCCAGTGGTGGCTCTCCAGCACAGATGTGTTCTGCAACACAGGGGCAGAGTTTGGTTTATTTACTACTGTGGTAGTGTGTTTGTGAGAGCAGCTCCCCTCGTCCCTCTGGTACCTGGTAGAGCGAGGCCAGGTGGTGGTGCGTCTTGATGAGAAATGGCTGGTTGACCCCAGGATGGTCCACATCGTGGGCGGCTGCGGCCATTAGCCCCAGGAATATGTCCAGAGGACTCAGCTGCTCTGCTAGCTACAACACCCCACAAGACACCCTACTTTAGTCACCTCTGACATCACAATAAACGTTTTACATACAGACACTCAATGACAGATCAACTCAGAAACTTAGAGCTTACTACAATAGGTGGCAACAGCAAGACAAGTCTTACACATCAGTCTTTAAACCAAGCAACATTTAACCAAATATTAACATGACCTAAAATAAATAATAAAACGAAAGACAAAATAAACCCAAATAGCAATGGAATACAAATGTCTTTTTTTAAAACTCAGCTCAACTGTAATGAAAAGCCAAGTCAAAATAATTTAAATAGTAATTTCATTGAATACTGTAACCTTGATGATAAAATGGTTAGTATAGCCTCATGTGTTTTGTGCTCCAGTCTGCACTGTACCGTAGTGACATGATCAATTCATTTATTTGAGTGCTTTTAACAGAATAGCTGCATCAGAAAGCCAATTACAGAAGAGAGTACGAGAAGCACAGCCACTTAATCTGGTCAGAGGGGATTGTGCAGCAGTGGATGGATGTGTTGTCAATCTTAAATGAGGAGGAATAATCCCTGAGGGGGCTCTCTAATGCAATATGTCAAGGAGAGGCCCATTGTATCATTACTGTTCCTACATTTACATGCAGGTCTGGGAAAGTCTATGTATTTATGTATGTATGTGTGCATGGGTGTGTTGTATATCACCTTGGGCTCCTTCAGGTAACAGTACATGGCTTGAGTGACATCAGCAGCATGGACAGCATTGTGGTAAGGATTCTGGGAGTGATAGTCCTCTTGCACCATACCTGGAAAAAAAATAAATAAATAAATAAATATATAAGTAAATTCATGACTTGACAGTTCAGATTTTTGGGCATCTTATTTTAGTGATTGGACCAAGACTAAAGACAATCCGCACCTTGTTTCTATGACAACACTCTCCACTGTATGTGTGAAAATATGTGATCTGAATTAAAATGAAACACAAGTATAGCTATATAGTAGTGCTATATCTAAACACACAACTTAAACCTTAAAAATGTTCACATTCAGTAATGAAACCTATACTGTCTACTATTAAAAAAGATTCTACAAAGCTACAACTGTGTGTCTTGCATATATATATATATATATATATATATATATATATATATATATATATATATATATATATATATATATATATATATATATATATATATATATATATATATATATATATATATATATCAGCTCATACCTAAAAACCTGTGTAGTTTGACCATGTCCAACTGGAAGTGGTGAACGAGGTCGTAAACATTAAAGAGATGGCACATAAGGGTCACCAGGCTGTTTCCTGTCAAATAAAACATTCATTAGATCCAAGAAAAAGCTTCTGTTGGTTCATAACTGCATTAAGTAATCAAGTAATTACCATTAGTGAGGCGATCGAAGAGGAAAATATCAAAGTTCCATGTGCTGACTTTAGACAGCATGTGCTATAACATAACACATGTTAAGTATATATCATCCAAAATCATACAACAGTGCGTGTGTGCTGTGATAAGTGTTTGTGTGCGTCTTCCTCACCCCAGCCTGTCCCAGGTAGTCGTCATCCAGCAGGTGCATGGAGCCGGGGGTATGGGGCACCAGGCCCCGGAGCAGGCGGGACGAGTGGCAGTACCTCTGGAAACTCAGCAGGCGCTTCACCTTCCTCCTGTTACACAGCTCTATCTCCCCCTGCTGGGCACTGGCTGAAATACAGATTACATACAAATGAAGAACATGGGTACAGCAATTATTTATTACTAGTTACACTTTATGCCTATAAGATACAGGTTAATGAATGCAGATGTAGGAAACTACTTAAACCTTAATAATCAAATGACCAAATGGGTGAGTAAGTGACTGTGACTGAATAATGCCAAAATGCTGCACACTGTTTGGTGCTAAAATGGGCTCTTACTGTTGATGATACGCAGGTCGATCAAAGGATAGGAGCCCCTTCTCTCCAGCAGCACACCCGCGTGTCTCGTGCGCACTCTGCCATCAGCTGTACACACACACACGCACACACGCACATGCACACGCACACACACAGAAAAGGATAATAGATAGAGGACAGGCCTGCTTCAGAATAGAAAACATTTGGGTTCTTATTAGTCACATTCTGCCCTGGCCACACTTGTCACGTTCGATCTGTCATTGCGTGTTACATTTTCTAGAGTAAAAAGGAAAATGGTTTGGCCAAAAAGGTGATACAAGGACAGGGCAGAGCTACTATTCCCCTTGTAGCTCTAATTGTAATCAGGATAAAAGTGAGTTTGGTATGCATGTAAATAATAGTGAATCTTTGACTTAGTCGGATCACCCACACCGTCAGCATCTGTTGTGCATTGTCTGATCTGAGCTGAGAGAGAGAGTCAGAACACTTGTTGGATATAGATGTAAAAGGTGCACATTATGTTCTAATTAACAATGCGGCTATACTTTTAACAGGGGGAAGTCCCCACAACTTTTTTAAGCATTTAGTTTTACACTTCTGTTGTCGCCACAGCATATATTTTGCATAATCTGGGATAATATAGGTTTTACTTAAAATGCTCACAAATCCCCAGGCTCAGGGGAAGGTCAATGAGAACATTCACTTGTGACATATAGGTTGGCACATTACAGCACTGATTTTTATTTTTAATTTATGTATTTTGGTGTGTTCTTGGTATTATATTAGATTCAGCATTTACCCTAGTATGCTGGTTTAAAACTGTACCAGACACTTCCAAAACTAAATCCTTCTTTTTTTATTAAGCAAAATAGACTTCACCAATTTGTTGAAGTGGTAGAATAGACAATTTTATACTGCAGGACAATTTTCGTCTTAAACTGCACCTTGGGCATCACTGGATTTAAGGACACTAAAATGACATTTATATAACAAATTAATTATAGAACGATATGAAATAAATATTCTGCAAAAAGGACAGACAACGTATCTTGATAGTCTTTTTTTTTTTTCATTTAATTGTTGGTTACTGAAGACAAGATATTTCCATACAGAACCAAATAACATTTTAAAATGCTCAAATCGTCAGGCTATTTGAAAATGAGCACAACAGTGACACAGTGCACAGAGGGAAATGACTCTGAAACGACCCAAACCCTGAAAATTGAATAATTTACAGACATGATGAGAGTAACTGGGGCGTATATCATTGGCTAATGTTGCTGATTTGCCTCACCTCTGCGGGTCCCCATGAAGATTTGCTAAAAGTAGATAAACTCCCCACTAATGGCCCTGTTAGAAGCTGTGCTGTCTCCCTTGGCTGTCACATCTGCTCTACTACACACACAGAATGCAAAATATAGGTTACCCGACTGCAGTGAGCTTTAGTGTCTGTATGCTGTCACACGGGAATCTATACATAAAACATGTGGTGCATAAGCAAAGCCAGCCTCTTAATCCAACCAACAAATACCAATAAAAACCCTTAGGAGACTGCTCTGTACAGAAACAGAGCAGTCCTGTGGTGGCCTAGTTTAAACAAGAAGCGTGCAGGGAGACCCTTTTTGCATGTTCATCCCTTGAGTTGGCGCACATCACCTGGAAAAGAAAACCCCCATGCTAGGCTAAAGCAACGGCACTGTCTTATTTCTTATCATTTCAGCCACAATTGCTTAATGTGCCTGCCCATCCGTCATCCCTCACCTCACATGGTTGTTTACCTCTCCATCGCCGAGGCAACTCTCAATGTGGTAAATAGGTCATTGTATCTTTGCAGCTGATAACTGGGTCATTTAGGAGAACAACATGAATCAGATGAAACTAGGGGGAGTAAAAGCCTTGTCATATGGCTCTGCTTCCAAGATAGTCACTCATGCTGCCATTATAGTGAATGAGGTTAATACTTTATGGATACAAAACAGGATCTGCAGGAATCAACAAACACGTAGCATCAGCGTACTCTCCCCTCACAAGGTGGGCGCAGCTCTGCATCTGGCGGAATTTGTGGCACACATTGTACGAGACACAGTTTCAAGGGAGATAGGTTTACCTGGCCAGTCCAATATATTTTACACTACCATTAGTTGCCTTTATGGATTCGTAAATAGGAAATTGCTGAACTTTGGTAATAGTTTTATGCTTAATAGTGATGGCTAAATAATTGTGTTCCGATTTCAAATGCCGGCAATTGTATAGACTTGTGGGTTGTAATGAGAAAGTCGGCAAACAAATGTCTACTGCTTTTCTATTTTTTTGTCTGAAATAGTATAAGGGACCTGGTGTAAAAATAAACATTTCAATTTCCAGAAAACAATGTGTCAGCCAAGATTTCTGTGGTAGAATTTGTGCTCTGTGCCTATTCACCTGAACCAAAAACCAGTTCAACATCTTTGCTGTCAGCACAAATGAGTGGTTTCTTTCCTGATGTCATGATACAAAAATTCCAACTTGATATTGAATATTGATCTCAATGATAATGAAAACCCTATTTTTAGATTATTATGGCATGTTTAAAAATTGAGAAATATGAAGATTCAACATTTGTTGGTTTGTAAATCAGTGAATCATCCATCATGAATTATGAACATCTAATCAAATTCTAGAGACAGATATTGGTCTTTTAATCTCTAAAACACTTGCTTGGCCCTCACCAAGGCCAGGCAGTGTCAAAATGACTCATTATCTCCGTGACAAGAATCTCTGTGTGTCTTGTGGTAGTCATATCAAACAGTGGTCTGATACACTTTCACTCAGGCTGGTCTACTGAATGAGGTCATCACAAATCGCCAAGGGAAAGTCAAAGGTGCAGCAGCATTTTATGAGTCAGCGCACACAGGTAAATCCCCTCAGCATGAGTCATCACATGTTCAATAAAAGATTCACACTTGATATTCATCGCACAAACCTGAAAGATCACAATAAAGTACTACTTCAACATTGAGTTTGTATTTAAAGTGATTCTATATACAAACTCAGTATTCAAGTCTGGCCATTTGGTCAGAGAGGATCTATGAAGCAATGTACCGTCATTAAATCGAAGGGTCAAAAAAATAAATAAATTGAGTAAGTATTAATACTGGAAAAAATTTTTATTGTGTGTGAAGTTGTATGTTTCCTGGATATTTTAAAAATGGTATTGATTAGAACTACAAGACCAAAATGTAATAATTAAGTAACCACTATTATTTTGTGTTCCAAAATACATTTTATTATCTAAATATTAACTTTTTCATTTCCATATCATAACCTGGACAGAGTATCCAGCCTTTACCTTGGTACTGAAATTGTAGTATTATTTAGACAATATTACAACAATATCTGAACAATGGTAAATGTGTTAGTCAGCTAAATTAACCTGACATCTAATGGACTCAAACTTGAGAAAAGCTAAAAAGAACTGATATGACTCATTTTGGAAAATATTAAAACTAAAACCAATTTTTTAAGTGGTTGTTGTCAAAAACGGTATAAAACTTCGCTTTGATGCATCAGTGGCTGTCCATTGGCCCAGATAGATGGAGGGTCAGACAATAGCGTCACACTGGTGTCACCACTGCAGCTGCGCCTCACCAGATTGTTACCCAGCTTTATTTAATGAAAACTGACTTTGGGCACATCCTTTATTTTGTCTGTTCCTTATAGCTCTGTCTCCTATCTGCCCACTGAAACAACTTCAACAAACTGAAACATACTAGACAGCCACTGACAAAGCCAACACTAAAGCCTGTGTTTCATTTCTTAACGTGTTTAATTCTAAGGTTCGTTCATTCATAATTTTAAAAAAGCTATGAGGCCTATTGCTGGGCCCTTTTCATTCACCTTGTGTGCACTCTCTTTCAATGACTGTAACAAAGAGGCTAACAACAGTTGCTGGATAGCAGTCCACACGGCTATTGTAATCCACTCAAAAATAAGGATGTTAACAATATAAAAATTACATACTAACCGATACTAAAAGTAGTATCGAAACCAGATAATTCTTTAAAGTATTAATACTAAAAAATCTAATTCGTACCTTTCCTTAATAGTTTTAAATGGTTTTGAGCTTTATCAGAACCACATGGACAACATGGTAAAATAAAAAGTACTATTATTTAGTGTACTATTTAAATTAAGAGCTTTTGAAAAAAAAAAATCATTATGGTATCAAAATCAGTAATGAACATATTCCTTAGTATCAAAATCATTTTTTTAACAATCATCATGGTAACACTACGCTACAGAAATATACAAGCAAATACTGACATTACTTGCAAACAATAGCAATTAAAACAACGTGCCAAAATTACATAACACAATATATCAAATAATTACTAAAACAACAAAAATCATTTATGGATTTCTTTTGTATATCCCCCCGGTGGTCCTTCAACAAGTTAAATATGACTAAGCCGACCTTGCATTAAACATGTTTCAAAGAAGACAAATGAATAAGTGATAAACACCTCTGGTAAACAGTATAGAGGCAGTGACCACAGAGGGTCCCAGTCTACACTGCACTGCAAACAAACATAAATCTTCCATAACATAACTTATCAAATATTTATGTGAACTTGCAGTACTTTCCACTTCATACCCTGACACCATAGATTGTGTTACCTTCTTGTTTCAGCTGGTCTTCCTCTGGTACCTGTTCCACCTCCTCTGCTACCCCTTCCTCTGGCTCTACCCAGTCCTCGCTCCTGCTTTTCGGGGGGCTCTGTGCACCCCCTCTCCTGGCCCTCCATGCCGCCCTGAGTTGCCGAATGAGGGCTGGCAGCTCCAAGGCCAGAGACAGTCCACCTCCGCAAGTGACTGGGGGTGTCCTGAGAGTGTCCCACATCGGGGAGCTGGGGGCATCCTCAGGGCAGACGTCAACAACACCACCCAGTCCAGAATCCTGAAGTCTGATGTCCGCACCCCACAGACCCTCCAGGACCGGCATGGGGCTGGGGAGTGGGGTGACTACAACAAAACAAATAAACTAAAATATGTAGGGATGCGGGACCAGTGCTGTCAGGTTGTCATAAGTAACAAATGAAAAAAGGCTTGAGAAAGAAGACAAAAATGGAGGAGGGGAAAACAAATGATCAGCTGCTCAAGAAATATACACGAAGTCAACAAAGAAAGTATTTGTCCCATACAGAGGATCCCGAACTGATCTGTGCTAGTGTTCTTGAGGTTTCTGCCGCATTCTCCCTCTCCTCATCTTCTGGCTCTCACTCACAGAGTGTTGTTATGGAGCTCAGAGCCCCTCCTCTCCCTCTGCTCACTCGTCCGCTCACTGGCCCCCTCTCTCTCTTTTTTCTCTTCTATATCACGCTCTCTCGACGGTGATGGGCCAATGGGATTTGCGCGAAAAAACAGCTTAAGAGTTTTGCAGATGTATCCACTATGGACTAACCTCAGGACAATAGTAGCACCTTACACAACGCCATCAACACAAATAGAAGACTTCTTTAAATGAATGTTATCTAACATCTCTGTATCTGCTGCAGAATTATGAAATACATCCAGCCCATTTGTTTCAGTCTGGCGTTGTCAAAAATGGACATCCAAATACTATTGACATTAAAACTAGCATAAAAACTACATACATTTGCTGAAAAAAAAAAAAAACAAAAAAAAAAAAACCCATGAAAAAGAAATTACAGTATCAGGAAAACATATATACAGTAAGTGTATATTTTTAGGACAAAATCTGGAAAAAAAGATAAGTTTTCAACCAATTTTGGCAGCTAACATTAGAGATGGTGTGATGTGTCTTTCTTGAGTTATTTCTTTTATAGGGTTAAGGTTATGGTTAAAACATCAATAAAAGTGGATTCAAAAGTTTGATAAACTATTATTATTACATTACTAAACTGAAGAATCAACCAGACGATGCATTATTAGGCTATATTTATATTAACAGTCTGAATAATGTATTTGGCATCACTGTGATAATATCACTATTCTAAAGTACTGACAATAAAACATTGCCCAAATTCTTGTCTATGGGGTATTGTTGTCACAATACTAAAATTTCAGTTTTGCTAAAGAATGGACTCATTACTCAATACCGATTCTGTTACCACAATGATAATTAAAAACAACCTTTGTTTAGAGATGTGATTTTCAACATTAAATAATACTACATTTTTTATATTAACATACAGTCTGTGTAATCCCTCAGAAGTCCAGGTATGTTCCAGAGTGGTCAATGGGCGTATACTACTCTCAAAATTTTATCTAATTTTTATACCAGTTTTAGTATCGATAGTATAAGATTTTTGATATTACAACCTTACTACAGTTTATATGCTATTTATAGTTTGAAAAAAGTTGGGTTTGTTTTCATGTTGAATATGGGGGTATTCAAGTTAAAAGCTATCATATGAAGACTCTATGGTTTTGGCAGTTTTTCCTAGAATGTGTTGCACAATGAGGATGAGATAGAAAGCCGCGTGAGTCAGTCTGTTTAAAAATAAAAACGCACTAGTAAGATGAAGAAGCGAAGCACTCATTTGGGACGACCATGAGGCTTCTGAGTGTCCTCAAAAGTCACAAGCGCCCAGAGGCTCAAAACCAGGAGACTAATTAACTCTACACAAATGCATTTCTTAAACGTGGAATACAAAAAAGAGGAATGTTGTTTAGGAACTGCTCCTTGCTCCCGACTGAAATGTTCCCTTGAGAATAGTCACATGGCGACAGAAGTACAGACGCACGCATTTAGCCTTGAACGTCACGTATCGTACACACAAGGCTGCGGCCAGGAATCATGAGACAAAGAGTGTGAGATAAAAGATAGTTTGTGTGTGAGAAAGTGTGGTGGCGCCAGTGAGAGGGCCATTCACAAAAAGGCTACATGTCACAGTGTACCTGCTAACTGACAGGCTAACTGATACTTAGTGATATTGTTGAATAAGATATACAAAAAAGATAGATTACCTGATGACTGCTGAACAATGTTACAACAATTATACCAATAGTGATCCTACTGATTATTTTTAAAGTACAGACGTTTCATAACTTAGTAGACAGACAAGACACTAAAATAAATATAATAATAATAATAAAAAATAATACTATCGTAATAACCTATAATACTATGATCATATTTTACGAGATTTGTATTTCTAACAGTAACTGTTGCAGTAAGTAGCAATTTGAATAGAAAACGCAGACTACTGCAAAGTAACACTGAAGCTTCCACGTTCATAAATGGAGCACAGAATGATGGTAGATAAATGACAAGTTGAGTGGGAGTGTGGATCCAGGGACTTGGACGTGAGCCAGAGGCCAAATGAAAGCACCGCCCTCCAACAGTATGGGAGGACATATGCACAAGGACCGAAATGGTCATGTTTGGTTCTGGGAATATAGGTCACCCAGGCCATTTTATGACCAGATCCAGCCTAACTAAGTTTTTGTATAGCGCTTCAGTGTACAGGATTTTATTCACACTTCAAGGAACTTACCACACTTTTTATCTTTTAGTGTGTGAGTTCTGCCTTGTCTTGAAGGTCACTGAATGAAGCTGTTTGAAACTGCATACCACAGGCACAAAAGATACAACTTGGAAAGGTTGCCAAACTCCATAAAACAACAAATTATTTAAGGCTACAAAGAAACAAATGTGTGTGAACCCAGAACACTTAACAAACTCTAGAGGTTTTTCACATTGAACTATTAGGGCCAGAAGGCATTCTTACCCAGCATGCGAACTTGTATGGCATTCTGCTCCGTCCGTTTCAGCGTGACTGCTCCACAACCCTGTGACAAAACCAGAAGCTTAGATGAATATAACCACCTCCAAAAATACACAGCTGTATCAAAAGAGCATCAATGGTGTGTGCAGGGAAAGAGACACCGTGCTAAAAGTCACAGTGACCCTGTGGACAGCTTCACATGCACTCATCCTTTTGACAATGAAGTGACATTGCACTGCTTTTTATAGATATTTTAACACTCTACAAAATTGCTAAAAAAATTGTAATATGCACAAAAAATAGAACTATTGTACAATGTTTTATTCTTATCAGCTGTTTTGTACATAGATACTAGATAAGTTTAATGTATTAATAAAATAAGATACGGCCTAAAAGTGATGTAAATCCCATACTAACAAATACAACTTGAAGCAAATCTACAATTTTATTTCAAAAGATGTTGCCATACTTTGTTCAGCTATTCTGTATGGAAATTACTTTTGAATTTTGACTTTTAAAATGAACAGTATCTGCTAATCGACAAGTGACAGGTCTCCTCAGTACTAAAGTGGGTCACTGGCAGTGCATTGGCCTAAAGTAGCTAAGATTTGCATATTAATCACAGAGTCCCACATGGTTTGTCCCTTCTGGCCCTTCAGAGGTCCGCCCTCTCAAAGGTGATCTTGTTCCAACTTTACCTACTATCTGCACTTTTATGGCAACACAAACTTAAAGTGGTCTTTGAAAAGCATTACTCATCTTCAATGCCTTTTATATTATAATCTCAAGTGTTTTTATTTGAGGTCAAGATAGTCTCTTTGGTGATACTTAAGATTTATATTCCACTCTAGACAGTGCAATGTAACAGAGGATCCCACATAAAAATAATAACATTATAGTAAGTGAATACTCACCAAAATACCAGTGGACTGAACTACTTGAAAAATACATTTTCATGAAAATATCCAACACTGGAGATACACTGATTCAGACTGACACATCTCTAAACAGTCCGTTATTGAGGTCAACTATTTATAATGACCTGTAATGGCTATAATGACCCAGCATCAGTGTAACAGTGGGCTACAGAGAGAGAGGTGAGTGGGTGCATGGTGCTGAATGAACAGAAGCTCATCTTTATGTGATCTAAAATAACATTTAATTAATCTGCAGTTTTACCCCGGGAGGAAGGTAACCACAAACTTTCAAGCATTGAATGTTGTGCTTTGTTTAGAGAGGGGAAGGAAGCGGGTGGATGGAAACAAACCCAGCAGCAGCAGCATGCCTCTGCTAGGCCCAATCTGGAGGTAGGCTACTGTGTATATCAAGTCTCATTTCAGTGTCATGAACAGAAAGAAATGTTTTTTTGTTGTTGTTGTTTTTTCATTGAAATAACAGCAGGCTAGTAGTCTTATATATAACAAGTTTAATAGACCTACTTTATTTGCTTCATGTTGTAGACTAAGTAAATTGATTAGACACAGTAAAACATACAACTATTGAATTATTAATGCACAAGTAACACGTGTTTTCATGGTAAATTTCAGTTATCACTGACCAATCACATGGGCAGTTTTACTATGATTAGTATGTATAACAAAACTAAACAAGAAGCTAATGTAGCTAAACCAATGTAATCGTGTTTTAATTGGTGAAAATGTTATTAGAGCAGGCTTAATTATACTTTCCGTCATATCAGTCATGCCCCAGCCCCACATATCACCACAAAGTGCAGCCCAGTGATGCAGGTCACTGCCGTACAGCTGTCAATACACTGCAATGACAACCCCTAGCATTTCACTGCACCAATATTATGGACAAACGTGGTCATATCGCCTTACAACTGATGCGTCGGGGCGATATGAATAACACTATGACTGAACAACTATACAACATCCTATAGCGTATCCATCGTACAACTGTGGTAAAGTATGTTAAAGACATTGAATAAGGCTTCACTTTTGTTTTTTAAAGGTTAGACCAGGCCTAACCAAAACTATGAAGTCTACTAAATTAAATTAGTATGTTGAGTAATTGCTATGTGTACCTACCTCGACAATTAAACAGGACATTTAACCATCGTGGCTGCCCATATAAACAAATGAATGTATCCAAAGCAGATTCTCACAGAGTGTCCGCTGCAGCAGGGCAAAAAGGTGAAGCTATCGTGTCGGTCTACTTAACCCTATTTGATGCCCTTCGTTTCGTCAGTGCGCTCGTCTTTATTGTAATCGCTGATAGTAGCAGTGCAAAAGGCGACATGAACTTGGAGCAGGCTGTCCCCACGCAAGGTGCCGTGTGTAGCTGTTGTGAGCCGCAGAGTGAGGAGAGGGGAGGGGCTGGTTGTAGCACCGCTGGGAGGGAACTAGAGGAGAGCCGACCAATCACTGCGCGGGGCTTTTCAGGTCTTGGCCAATCACAGTGAAACGCTCTTAATGTTTCTTCTTTATGGTTATAAGAGGATGTTTGTTGTAATTTTGGGAAGATGAGTAGAGCAATTGTGCTTTAAGCGTTGATATCTTGGGTTTTCTATTTAACTGAACAGAATACTACATTAAAAACATTTCTGGAGACTTCAACTTATGTTTTTGAAAATGTAGGTCAGTGTTACACACGTGTAGTCTACAAGCTACTACATGCATATTATAACTGGGGCATACCCTGCAAAATTTTAATTGCATAAAATTTAACATTTTCCTTTGGTTTAAAGACTAGCAGGGTGGTTAACAGTTTACTTATATATATATATGCGCTCACTGCAGAAAAGGTACAAAGATAGTAACAGCCATGTATTACTTAGAATATGCAGTGTTTCAAAGGCAGCATTTTTGCCTGATGATCATATTTCAAATCATGAGTAGAAGCAAACATTACTACATTTGACAGATTACACTTCAAGAAATGATTTGTGACTTTATGCTGGTATGTTGTAAACATCTGTGCTGTTTAATCAAGTCAAAATGAATACAGCAGTTGCATAGAGAAAACAAATGCCCTTTCTCTCTTGTGATCAGAAATGTTAAGGAAGATACAAGCTACATCTTTTGAATTGTACATTGCATTTTCTTCTTTTTAAGGATTACACAGTAAAAGGTGTAATTTATATAAAAAGCAAAACCTAATCACATACAAAATATGTATAGCTTCTGACATATATATTGAGACAAACATATAATAAGACACAAACAATTAAATTAGACATGTGAAACATTTACAGAAGTTATGAGTGGACACAGAAATAAAGAAGTCGGTAGCTGGTGGAAGCCAACGTGACGACTATCAGAAGCAGTAATTGTTAAGTACCCTGCAAGTTTTGAGCTTTAAAAGGATGAATGTGCATGTTTTTTAATAAATTACATGTAACGTCGGCCTTGACTCCGTCGGTGAATAAACTGTAGGAAGAATTAGTAATATTTTGTAATCAGATAAATAAAATGTTTCCATTGTTAATTTATAAACAAAGGGAAAATGTGTGCAAACCTTGGGTGTCTCCGGACTGCTGAAAGGCGACAGCTCCCGTGAATTTTCTTTGTCCGAGGAATTATTATGGTGATGTTGGGCAAATTTCTTTTTTAACGCCTCAGCTATGAGAGCTGCAGGGTCACTGTGCAAAGCTGCTCCCCCTCTACTGCGTCTCTTTCTGACTGGAGTGCCCCCTGGTGATCTATCAGAGGAAGTGCATCGGTGTTTCAGAAAGGTAACTTAACTTACTAATGAACATCACAATCTGTAATAGTATACTGACTACTGCTGCATTTTGTATCCACAAGATGCTATTATATTGTTTTTTGGTCGGTAGAAAAATGTAAAAAAAAAAAAAATCCTCAATTTTACCTCTGCACTGAGCGTAGTTTAACTTGATTCAAGTCTTTGAGAACATCCAGCATAGAGGGCAGTCCTCTCCCCTCTGACCCTGTACTGTCCTTTTGTGGATTGTTGTCATGGTTTTGTTTGCGAGCTTTGATGAGCTCTGACACAGACTGGAGTGGAGCATTGGTGCTGGGACAGGGGGGTGGAGGAGGAGGGGGCGGAGGCAGTGGAGCAGGAGGACGAAGAGGTGTGGACGTCAAGGCCGGAGGAGACATCATAGGAGTAGGTTCAACATCTAGCAGGAATACATACATCGTGTTTCATGTTTTAAATATATAATTAATTAATTTAATAGAATACTGAAAAATTTTGTGTAATAGCAACTGAATAGTATAGTAGAGAATTATTATAATCTTATCATCTTAAAAATGCTATGGCTTCATCCAATAATGCTCTGAAATGTAATGCGATCAGTGGCGTATTTTATAAGAGATCTTACACAAAGAAATATAGAACAGTAATTTGTTCATGTTGGCTAGATTGAAATAGAAAAAATGATCATGGTCCATGAAGATAAAATAATTACAACAACATAATTATTAGGACCTTTTGATACTGTTAAACTTTGCTAAAATATTGTTATACATTCATGTACCTGGAGTAGGAGGCACAGTAACTATCAGCGCGATTTGAGCTCGAAGTTTGAGAAGCTCACTCTCCAGAGCAGAAATCTTTTTTAAGGCATCTGGGTCAGGAGCTGGTTTCCTAGAATTTAAACCTCTTTGATTTTGATGTAGCTTCGGTTTCTGGACTCTAGAAACATTACTATTTACAATATTGTGCTTGTTAAATGGCAAATGGTTCCTGCAACAAAGTCCAGATAAAACATCATGAGAATTGTGCCATATACTGCATGTATTTATTTATTTTTATTAGTAGGTATAGAGAAAAGCACACACCTGGTCCTTGTAGAGCTGCTCCCCTCATCTTCACAAACCCACAAAATGTCAGCAAATGAGGGTATGGTGGGAGTATCCACAGAGATGTCCACATAAGCCTGTGGTTTATGGGAGATGAGTGGAATCTGAAAAGATAGCTATATTAAATATCCCTAAAATTAACATGACATTTTTCGACCGCAGCAAATACCTGAAAGTGAACCCTTGGAGGTGGCTCCAGAGGAAGATTTGTCCCAATCATCCTCACAATGCTGCGATACTGACCACACAGCTCACAGTCCCACACAGGAACCAGCTACATCAAGACACAAAAAAAATTCAGATGTAAAATAGATAGAATTCAGGACATTACGGACAGCGGGCGTGTGACATCTGTTACTGTAGATAGAATATTCTTTAGACTCACCATTTCTGGAGGAGCTCCAAAATACTCCAGGACCATGCGCAGTACATACAAAATATCCTCCAGCAAAGACATTGGAAGGTCTTTTTAAGCAATCAGCGCGAGACTACAATGTTTCTGCTGACTTGGTTGGTGCGCCAGCACTGGAAGAAATCTAAACTGAAAGAAAGCACTGCAGTTTAGGCGTTTCTAAATATATAATCACCGTTTATATTTGATTTCATGGCTGATAGTTTGAGAAAACATGGCTAAACCATACAGTCTATGGGCTAAACATGCGTTTTAGTAACATTAGATGAAGTAGTAGGAATCTATGTCCGTCTGATGTGACACTTTAAAGTCAATGGTATGCGTTTGCCAAGCCTTTAATTCACGTTCAGATAAATATGTCGTTAAGTCTTACAGAACATAAACTTAGCGTAAAGTCTGGTATGTAAACATCTACTCATTCGTGTGCCTTCGGTAGTTTAGCTGCACTAATGTGCCGCAGTGTAAGCTGCACGTCTCATCAAAAGTAACGCTGGATGCGTGTCGCCAGGAAACAACAGAGAACGATTAGACATGTCCAAACTTACCCCGACTTTTCTTTGTTAGCCAGATATATGGCTGGTAGTTAGCTATATTCTTACTCAATTAGCTAACCATAGTATTATTTCTAAATTAACCCCACTTCCTCGAGTTTGTACGCATGCAAGTTTGTGAAGTCAAATAAAGCTGCACCATCTAGCTATTCTGTAATTGGCTACAAAATACAGAAGTGATCGAATCAGCCAATAGCAGCGCCTGATATTGGAAGGTGTCACAACGGCTGCTCGACCAATTGCATTTGTTAAAAAAAGACTTGCACCAAATTTGTATTTTTGTGCGAACTGGCCAGTAGGTAAGGATATTTAGTAACGCATTATTCTACTTTCAGACACTTAACTATCTTAGCATTTGAGTTTAATCTACGGAGTCGCGCAAATACATTTAAAGACAAAACTATGGACGACAGTAATGATTGTTTGTAAAAATGGATACAACGTGAGCTGGTGCTAAATTAGGCTAGTTAGCTCAATAGTCGTTTGCTAGCGCTTTTTTTTTTTTTTTTTTTTTTGTAATCAATCACTGTATAAAATCATAGAATAGAATAGTATTGTTATGGTGCATGGTTTGTAAAGTACATATGAGCTTATTAAACAGTTAGTCACTCAAATCTTCAAATTATTGACATTAAATCATTCAGGTTCAGCAACTCTCCGCAAAGATGATGGATGCTCTGTCAGTGGTCACCCAGCTCCGTGACCTCGCCTCAGAGCCGCAGAACCGCGAGGTGATTGTCCGGGATCAGGGTTGTCTCCCGGGGCTGGTGCTATTCTTGGACCATCAGAGTCCCGAGGTGCTGCTTGCGACTCTGCAGGTGGGTCGTGCAGATGGACCGCAACCAACAGCGATCCCTTAAACAATATGTTTACACTTTCGCCTTTATTTATTTAAGACTCTGCGATACTTGGCCGAAATGTCTCCCAACATTCCCACTATGAAGAATGAACTGGGCATGATGGTCAGCTTAGAAAATCTCATGGGAAGGTTAGTTTCATTTATTCAAAGACCGAAATGTACAACTGCTAATGCCCCTTTACTTGTTTTGTAATAACGACTGTTCTGTATCTTAATTTTAGGAAGGGCTTGTCTGTGGACATCACATCCCTGGCTAAAGAAGTCTATGAGATTCTCATTACACCTGTCAGGCCAGCCACACCTGAAAGGCCAAGAGGAAAGAAACCTCAGTTTTTTATCAATTCTTCAAATAAAAAGGCAAAGTCTGTGACCCTACATATCCAGGGCCTGGACAGTTCTGTAAGTGTACATACATACATACACACATCCACCACCACCCCCCACACGGTATCAAAATATCACATTTTCTAACTAAAACTGTTATTATTATAAGGAACAGCGCAGTCTTTGTGAAGAGGCTCTTCTAAAGGTCAAAGGAGTCATCAGCTTCACTTTCCAGATGGCTTCAAAGAGATGCACTGTTCGCATTCGCACTGATCTTCCCACTGAGGTAAGATTGGAAACAGATAAGCTGATATTGACTATGGTTAATGACAATTTTAACTGTTCTTGTCAAAGAGTCTGGCAGCAGCAATTGCTGCTACAAAGATACTGTCGGCTCAGCAGGTGGTGAAGAATGAAGAAGGGAAGGAGGTGGGTTTTAGACACGTCTTTTAACTCTGACAGGCTGAATATACTTATTGAATACATTGACCCGTGTGGGTTATGCAGGTTTTGGTCCCCCTCAAAGTGAGTGGAGCAGAGGTGAAACAAAACACTGCTCTGCCAGACTACCTCCCGGAGGACGAGGACAGCCCTGAGAAGGACCTGAGCCGTGCAGTTTCTCGCACCACCGCCAAAGAAGACTCGAGTGGGAGCTGGCTCAATACTGCTGCCAGTTTCCTAACCAAAACCTTCTACTGGTGAAGTTATTACTCAACATAAAAATATGGAATGGACAATTCTGACTTTTAAATAACCACTGGAACAAGGTGTTATTTGTCCTATTTGCATTGAATATAATTCATTGTTGTAAATATTTCCTATAATTTTCTCTACAGCCATTTTTTTTAACAATTCCCACTAAGATGTGCTGGTATTGTGACTGTATAAAACAAAAACTCTCTGTTGTTCTTTGCTCAGAATGAATACAATAAGGTAAATTATTGACTCATAAAATTTATTTCCTTGCATAAGTACAGTTGTACTGCACAATATAGCTGACACAGATGAACAGAGCAGCTTGAGAAATGGGCATCATTATTACTAATAGTAAATATACATATTTTACACTGTATACCATTACTTACTTATTTTGCTTTAGGGAAATACAAGGTCTCAAAATATCTCATCAACTTGCTTTTTATCATCTCCTGAAAACAAAGCACAGCCAGCTTTTATTGTCATTTCAGTGGTACTGTACGAAGTGCAAAAGCGTTGGGAAAACAGGTGTGCGTTTGGTATGAAACAATTTCACATTTATCCTGAAACCATGTTTATGGTCAACTGCTTCACAACATACATGACAATGACATCTTACATTCATATCAATTGGCGTGACAAATGAGAATGAGCAGTGAGTGAGTGCAAACTACAGTATGCACAGCTGCATTATAGTTTGAAAGCTATAAGGCAAAGGAATGTCTTGATTAGCAGCAATGATTCTTCAGCTCTTAACAATCATCTGAATTTATGGATACCGTAATCACATTCCAAATAAACCGGTACAACTTGGGGTTCAGTAGAAAGGGTAAACAAGTCCAAGAAATGTACTAAAAGACAGGTTGATGTTTTACTCAAATTAAAAAAAACTAAACATGAAATAAATTATTTTCATATCTCAGTTGTCAGAGAAAAGTTGTCATTGTTTTTAATTAATTGATTTTATATTTAACATTGAAATAACCTAATATTAAACACTGTTTAAACAGCAAAAATATTTCACAACTAGTCTGTTTTAATACCACTTGTGCCAAATCATATTTCAAACAGAAATGTTTTAACATAAATAGGCCATATGAACTAGGTTTGGTTTTGCTGGCAAACTCAGACTCCTTTCATCATTCACACACAACTCTACTGCAGCCAAAACAAGGGCGTCCAGTGCACCCCTGTGATTTCAGGGCCAGGTTAGTTTCTTTTTCTGTTTTATTTACTTCTGAAGAGGCTTTCAGGATCTTTGGAGATGGCATCTTTGGATAATGGCTGCCGTACAATTCTGGCAGCTACAAAGTCAACCTCCAGAAGGACCTGAAGGTCTTTTGATTCAATCCAACAGCTTCATGTGTTTCTGACTGTGCCTCTACTGAAGTCTTATATGATAATTCCTCTTGAATTAAGATGGCATCAAGAAACATCTATAAATATAAACAAAACAAGTAAGATATGGTGGGAGACTATGCTCATATAAAGGCAAAGGTTTCTGACCTGGTCCTTGGTGTGCAGATATGTCCTCCACTCCAGTCAGGGGCTTAAGCAGGCCGTTCTCCTTGAACATGGTCACAGGAGCAGTCTCCCGTCCCTCTGGAGGGGACAGTCGGGACTGTTGTGGCAGTACAATCACCTCTTCAAACTCACCATTCTCTCTGAGAAAAGATACAACTATGAGACATATAGACAATAGGACACGCTTCATTAGTAACAAGTAAAGCATCAAAACACACGTCTGGTCAGCTATGCTCAGTGCAGTGAGTTTTGGGTTGGAGTCAGACTGTTGGTTGCCATTACTGTGATGAGCAGGTGATACAGTGACTGCAGATGCACTTGGAGAAGCTGGAGCCACTAATTAAAAAAAAAAAAAAGTATGTATTGAGTAATTGATTGTCAAAGATAAGTCAAACAAAGCAATAACTGAACAAACCTGCTCCATCACCATTCCTGTTAGGAAGGACTTTCTGGGAAAAAAAAAAAAAAAAAGAATACTTGACATCCCAGACTTAATAGGCATTTTACTAAAATTCTTCTGGTGTTTACCTTGTCTGGCGTTTCAGAGCGTCTTGTTCTCTTCATTATCTCCTCAAGGCGCTGTTAAAATAAACAATTCAGTGCCATGGTACACAGACTGTAATGTGTGTGTCTGTGTGAGTGAAGTTTGTACCTTCTTCCTTTCCAGCCGCTCAGCCTCTTCCTTCTGAAAGCGTTCCTGTCGAAGTCGCTCAGCCTCCTCTCTTTGCCGAGACTCCTCTTCCTCTTTCTGAGTCAAATAAAATAATCACATATTCACAGTAAAATACTGTGTATGTATAAGGAGATTGTGTTACTGAATGACTGACCTGTTTCTGTATCTTCTCTGCCTCTTCCCTCTCTCGTTTTAATCGCTCTTCCTCCTCCCTCCTCTCCTCTTCTTCTTTCTTTCTCTTCTCCTCCGCCTGACGCTGTGCCTCCTCTTCTCTGCGGGCTCTCTCCTCTGCCTTTCGACGGGCCATCTCCTCTTTGGCCAATCTAAGCATAAACATCAAAACATAGTATTATCCCAAGACCTGGAGGGTTCATGTACTATCCACTGATCTTCCACACACCGAGCCTGCTCTTCCTGCTGCCTGCGCTCCTCCTCCTCTCGCTCTCTCTGTTCACGAGCCTGTCGTCTTTTCTCAGACAAAATGCGGCTGGCCTCCTCAGGATCTGTGGTGCCCGCCATGGTCTTCTGAGGTGGAGGGCTGCCAACATTCTCTGTTGAATCAGAACAACATACAATGAACCCAAATGATTCTCTTTTTTGTTTTTTTGTTTTTTCCAAAATTCTCAGTGGTATCTTGGATTTTTTTGGGTGGCAGAAGAAAGCTGAAAAGCCTTCACTATTTGGTGATTCAAAACTCTGAATATGCATGTCAATATGAATGAAACTGAAGATTTCATATATAATAATCAAAACATGAATTACCTTGCTGTTAAGCAAAGGGCAAATATATGCCACCATGCCGTCAAAGTACCACCTTACACAATATTTGGCTTCATAGGTACCACAAAGATTAAACCAGCACTTAAATACTCCTAAAACTGCACTAGACCAACTTAAAAAGGTCCAACTTTGAAGCAGAGGTGAAGAAAGTTTTTTTTTTTTTATCAGTACAGTGTTTTGTACACTTGACTAACCGGTTTGTGTGGGCTCTGCAGGCTCTGAGCTGGCCTTGTTTTGACCCAGTGGCTGTGGTCTGGGCTGTGAGGGGCTGAGGACCTTCTGTTCTTGCTCCTCCTCCTCCTCCTCCTCTTGGGCTCTATTCAGAGGAGAGGACTGGGTCTCTCTGTCCGGTGAGACTTTGACTGGACGCATGTTTCCAGGGTCGTCCGCTGCTGGAGACTTGAGCTGCTTTGGGGTTGGGGGCCGCCCTGGTGACTTTTGTGATTGTCTGATATGAAACAAACAAACAAAAACATGACATGAGTTTGCTGGCTTGCTGAGCCCTTCTTGTATTGAAGTCTTTCATTATTATAGTTCACCCACCTGCCAGGAGAGGGTGCAGTGGCTTTACTGTTCTTCTTTGCTGGAGTGGCGGGGTATTTTCTGGGAGGTAGAGAGAGAACAGGTGCCAGAGGGAGTGACAGGTTTGTCCAGGACTTTCGCACGCCATCATGGTCCTTTTGCTGTTAGGAAAAAAGACATAAAATCATGTATTATTAATTTGTATTTGTATATTCAGGTAAGATGGTGTTCTTTAAATATAACCTCAGAGCAGCACACGTATCAGGTGAAATAGACAGTGCCTTAGAGACAGCAGAATGTTGGTCAGTAATGGGATTAGACTTGACCTGGCTCTAAGCAGCAGAACAGACCGAGGTGATGCCAAAACTAAAAGCAAACTTCTAATATCATTAACTGCGTCAACTCAGGGCAATTCAACCCACTTTAATATTCTACATTTAAAGCCCCACCATGTAACCTTTCAGCTAAAAGTCTTTATTGCACTGAAAAACTTCAACCTTACTGTGGGCTTGTATCCCCACAAACCTGATTCAGATGAGGCAAGAGAGCGCGAGCCTCCATCTACTTACAGCCATGTTTTTTTTCCTTTAGATCTGGATAAAATGTTCTACTGTATGACATAAAACCTACGTAGTTTTCAAGAATGCTTTGAACTTTCGTGCTACAACCAAAACACAGCAACACGGCTTAAAAATGACTGACAGTTTCTACTACAATAACTACAACTACTTTGGTGCTACCATGTGCTGCCCTGGAGCTAGTATTTCAGAAATATCCTAAACCACTGATTGAGTCATTGATATTGTGTGATGGTGTCATTATGAACGTTTAAACAACTGCTATTCGGAGTCACAGTGTTGCCAATTCCACACCAAATACAAAACATTTTTAGGTGTAAAATGATGGCCTATTTCTGAAAATGCTTTGGTTCAACACAGCTGTATACCTGTGTGTGTGGGGTTCCAGTTGTTTTCCTCCGTAGAGCAGAAGAGGGAGCACTGTCCCGGGTGAGGCTGCGTTCGTGGCTGCGGCATTGGGGTGGGGGCTGGGACTGGATGGACTTAAAGGACACTGAACCCATGGGGTGACAGGACACTGAGCGGGGACACACAGGCAGGGCTACTGTCATGTACGATGGGGTATGGAGAGGTTTGGTACAAGCAATATATGGATTTGTGCATGGGATAAAAGCAACAATAATATGGGGTACAACAACACAGGGAAGAAATAAGAATGTCATATGGTTGAGGAAGGAATAGTGAATTATAAAGTTGGAGTGGGAAGAATAACAAGAAGAAAAAATGACATTTAGATCTTGAACATTAAAAGTTGTGGAAATAAAGCTTAGATTAGAACAAAGCAAGCTGAATCTCTAATGTTAGTAAATGATTGGTATTTCACTTTACATCAAAACTACGCAGTGTTTAATGCTCTAAACATACATGTGCTGTTTTCTGTGACGTCTTAAATCTTTTTAATATGAATTTAAAAAGTGCAAATAGTGCATTGTTAGGGAATGTTAAACAAGCAAGACTGAACAGCTTAGTGAAAAGTGTACACATAGTTGTTCATGAGTGAGCTTTAAGTGCCTGATACTGTCTGGTTGGACACATTTTCAGACACTGTAATGCCTTAAGTCTGACTAAATCTGATTATGAACCCCAACACTAACTGTCACCAACAATAAACAGTTGCATATATTGTTGCCCATTATACGGTGTTGTTATGTGGTGAAGCTACCTGTCTGATCTCCGGACAGGCTCATAGCGCTGCGGCTGCGGGCCAGGTACGAGTGTGTGGGCTGCTGCAGGCGGTTCACCATGCTACTTTCCCATGGAGTGAGGGGAAGGCGACGCATACCTAAACATACATGCAATGATGGTTACATTTACATGGCCAGAAGAAAAATGTGATAACTATAATCAAATAACCCGGTAATTCGATCTGATATTTGATGTGTGTTTACATGCACAAAAGAAATCTGATCCTCCAAAACACCCGGTGACACGTGCCAATAAATTAGTAGTAGTACTGTGTATTTGGAAGGCAAAGTAAAAAAGCAGTTTGGATGAGCTGTGAAACATATTCAATCAAAAAAGCCTTCCTGGATCCTTCCTGGACAACTGAGGGATTTTACAAACATACAAACTTTGCCACATTAGTTTGCAAATTTTCATAATAAAAATAATAGTAATTTTCCTTGTCAAAACCTGCAGAGGTGTGAACAGTAGGATAAATCAGATTACACCCATCAGATACAACTGTATATAGCACAATAATTCAATAATATTTCAATAATAATTTCAGAAATCAAACTGGTTGTGTGCATGTAAACACAGTCACTGAATCTTTGCTGAATCTTACAAAATTCTACAATATTTCAACAATATATTAGTAAGCCCACACAACAAAATTCTCAAGTCATGCACAAACTGTAAGAATATTCATAAAGAAATCATGCAAAAAAAAAAAAAGAAGGAAACAATAACCAAGCAAACAAAAACAAAGAAATATTTTGCACTGATAATAAGACAATTTCTGTCAGATTACAAAGTGACATGCAAGCTATACCCTAATTTGCTGTACTTATTACAAAAAAATGTATAATAGCATATAAGTTGGATGCATTATGATTGGTTATTTGTTGAGGTCATTTCATGCAGCGTTCCTCACTTCAGGGCAGAGTATTATATTACAGGTACTAAGCAAAAATATAGATACTGTCCACTGGAAACTGTAACTAAATCGGTTTCTGCTGCATTCAGAAAGTCCATGATTTTCCAGATTGTCCACTTTGTCAGGGCACAACAGTGACTGTACTTAAAGGGCCTATATTACGCAAAATTGACTATTGTGAGCTTTAAGCCATGTTAGAATGTTGTTACCTCATCATCATCAACATACCTGAAGTTGTGTTTTGTTTCATTCACATTCAGTAATCCTGTATTATTAGTCTGTCTACATCTCCAAAGCTCAAAAAGCTCTGTTCCAGCTTGTGACATCATGTAGTGGTTGTTTTCAAGTTAACAGCTACCTTTTACCTTCAGTTCAGTAGAGTCTGGCAATTCCAGGGCTGAAATGATCCAAATAGGGCTGTCGCAATAACCGCAAAAATGAATCACCGCGGTACTAAGAGGCCCACCGTGGTGGATGTTGAGCCACCATGATCACCGCACATGACCAACTTGACCCAACCCAGAGTCCTGCATGGGTTAATTTTTAGAGACTCGCACCTGCCCGGACCCGTAAACATTTCACCTATTACCGCCTGTGCCCGTGATAACCCAGGACTAATCCAGGACTAATCCAGGACTAACCCAGGACTAACCCAGGACTAACCCAGGACTAACCCAGGACCAACCCAGGACCAAGGTGCGCCTGCATAGAGTGTCAGGTGACCGCAGGCGAAAGGACCAACACGGACGGAGGTAAGTGCGGCCGTCGTCCGATCGCGCTTTGCGGACACCTGCTCCGCGTGCTTGTTCTAGGGGCTCTCTCTCTTAAGTCTGCGGGTACCAGAGCCACCACAGTGAGAGCTGGAGGGATGCAGCGACACTTGTTCCATAGCCAAATGTTACTTCTCCCACGCTACACACACTATATCCACACAACAACCAAGGTACATGTGCATCTGCACAACAAGCATATCATCTGAGAGTTTTCAGTGTCGCTAGAAATATTATAACTCCGGGGGATGCGGGGTGGAGGAGGGGGTGCGATATCATCACATATCACACTGTTGAGCCGCTATACCGCACAGCAGGGAAAATTCCCTAACCGCAATATCCCTAGATTCAAATGTTTCAAATCCACTTCCTGTATTACCTCATGACATCACAAGGTGGAACAGAGTGTTTTCAGTTTAAGAGAAGCACTCTACCTGCCTAAATATGCAGGGTTTCTGTGTTAACATGTGTGAATCAAACAAAACAGGTATATTTTTGATAAGGAAACAACATGATCACAGAGATCAGAAAACAGTGTAATAAGTGTAAGATGGGCCCTTTAAATGTAAAATATCTCCAATTATTTCATTGTGGATGTTTCAGAGGGATGGAAGTGGCAGCCCCCATGAAAACAAAGAGATTATCCCCCAAGGATTAGAGAAAGGGGTCACGCTTACAGGGGGAGATTCTGATCCTTCTCATGAAATAGTAGTGCTAACACATGATACTGTAACATAGTGAAGTCTGCAGAGGCAAAAGAGCCACTCAAATAACAGAGTGGGGTTTAGAATGCAGCAGTTTCCAGCTCAATATCTGTTCGCATACAAGCACAGGTCGAGCATGTTTTGCACAATATCGTCATAAAGGACCTTTACTTTTGTGCTGAGGGCCCTTTCCTTGGCTGAGGCGTGGTTTGGACTGAGCTTTGCTAATGACCGGAGTGGAGGCAGTTCTCATCTGTAAACCTGTCGAGCAATGTGTGAGCTTTTGTGACATTAAAGGTGCACTGTGTAACTTTTCTGGTGGATAGTCCAAAACCTGCTTCTCTCCATGTACAGTAGATATTGCATGGAATGTTCCATAGTATGGCATTACACTTATTTATCTCTATAGAGACAGCAGGTGACACCACAGGGCCAAATTACATGTCAGATCTGTGGAAAGGCAAGCTTACGCACGGTAAGAATACATGTTTTTAGGTCAATAAAAACATATGATACTGAGTAAATGCCAGATGGATACATTTAATGCCATATAGGGACATTCCAGACAAAATAATAACATCTCCATAGAGACAAGCAGGTGGCGGACTCTCAGTTAGAAAAGTTACACAGTGCACCATTAAGGTACACTATGTAACTTTTCCAATTGGGTCTGCCACCTGCTTGTCTTCATGAAATAGAATGTTCCACTGTATGATATAGAACTGTTGCCTGGTGACTTCCTTTGCTTGTCTCCATGGAGAAAGACAAGTATAAAGCCATACTGTGGAGCTTTCCAGGTAAAGCAATAACATCTACATGGAGACAAACTAGTGGTGGATGCTACACCAGAAGTTACATAGTGGACCCTTGTCTGATGTTTGAGATGGCTTAGATCTGCTAATACACACTTACACATACACAACATTACAGACAAAATACACAAACCTAAAGCAGAAACACAACACACAACAACTATAACAGATGCAGACAGAGCAAAAATGTCACGTTTTTGTGAACCTCTGTCCGGTGAGTGTAGGAGCGTGGCGGAGGATGAGGAGAGGCGCTTGGTGATAACAGGATCGGTGTGTTTGGACAAATTCATAGTCGACACTGATCTTCTGTCAGAATCTACAGAAAAAAAGCACTTTTAATATAGATCAAGCACTGTACAGATTGACACCAGACAGAAATAAGAAATCTTGTAGTTAGGATTCAACAATAGCATTCCTGGAATTCTCCTGAACTTTAGCTCTTTGGTATCACATTCATGCAACCAAAATAGGGACTTGTTTTTCCAGCTCAAACCAATTTTCTCACCCCCAAAAATATTGTGTCTGGAAGACAGCCATAATAAAATCTCAGGAGGTACCACAGATGAGGAAGTTTACAAGCACATCATTATGGACATCTTATCACACATGCCATTTGGGGACTTCCAGGAATGCTACAAAGCACAAAACTTCGACTATACAGCTATATATTATTGCGTTAACTTAATTTGGACACAATTTTAAAAACAACAGCTACTGTAAGATTAAAAACAGTTACTGCTCAAAGGGAGAAAGTGTTAGTATGAACATAATTAAGATGTCTCTGTAAATATGTGTCTACATCTATATTATAAACACTAGCCATGCCCTACATTCCTACCACCAGTTACAGCACTAATGCCAGCATACTAGCACTGGCAGGCTAACTTTACTATTATAGTCACATTTAGAGGTCATCCCATATCTGTGGAGACTGTAAGCACCATGCATGTGCTCCAGTCCAGCAAGGTCGAGCGGACAGAGAAAAGCTGACTCGACAGAACCTGCACCAGGGACCGAAGAGTTAAATGGAGAGACAGAAGGGAGGGCATGAGTCAGCAGAATCAATAGCGTAATATAAAAAAAGTTCAAATATGATCTAAACAATAGTGACACGCACAGACAGGTACATATTTACTCAAAGCTCCAGACATCAAGGATTAGGAAGTATAAAGCATTCAAATGGAGCTAAAAGGAAATGTGTGCATACCAGGTGCTGTGGTGGATGCGTTTGTGCTCAGGGCCCCTCCCCATGACCAGCGGTTGGCCTTTGGTTGCACTTTTTGACTCCTCTCCAAAGTTCGTCGCAACACAGCTTCATGACGAGCCTGCGCGGAAAAGGCATACAATTAATAGAATACTATTAATATACAGTATGGGTTTAAACAATAGGTGACCCTAAATGTCCAATTCTGCTGCATTTTCTATTTAGCTTAAACAAACAAACAGTCACTTGCTGCATTTTATAAAACTAAATTAGCGAAGGCAGGGTCATTTTTAGTCTGGGCTAAAATGATTCCAGTTCATTGGCATTCAACCAACTGAAAACTTCCTGGAATGGTTTGTAAAAGAAGTTTTGATTCATAAAAATACAAGCTGCTGAACATCAAATCAGCTTTATGTCTCTACCAAATCAGGGCTGGCTCAATATGCCAATTCATAGCATAGTTGTCAAACATGGCTTGATGTCTATGTCCATTAAGACAACTAAAAAACCGACTGATATATAGAAAAATGAACTTTACCAGAATAATCTGACACAATAGAAATTTCTCCCACAGGATTTTAACATCAAATGATATTTCTCTAAGTAAATGGTTAATTATTGCATTATACTCATTTGCAAATGAAATGGGTGGTCAAACAAGTATTCTCCAGTGTCAAAAAAGTAGTACCATTCTTTATCCATCAGTACATCTGATAGAGACAAGCTCCTAGTGCTTCTTATGGCTGTAATTGACTAAAGAAATTCTTGGTCGATAAAAGACAGGCTCTGTGCATCAATTTACCGCCTAAAAGGGGGCGAGGCATGGCACTGGCAAAAACTTGTGCAAAAAGTACCATGTATACAAAGGGAAAAGAGCATCTTCATAAGTGAAAAGGCAGATTAAACTGTCCAGTCACTCCTAAAGCTCCACTTTCTACTGTGGTCCATATAAATCCTTAAATAATGATCCTAATAATCAATTAATAAAAAAAGGTATTTGAAAGGTAAGTTGATTTGGCAACTTTATTTATTCATGACTAAAGGACAACCGTAGTACTCTGATATCATTATCAATAAGGTTTTTTTGTTTTTTTCTTTCACTATAATGTAATAACAGTGATCCTTTAAAAACCAATGTGACTTTATTGGCCCTAGTGAATTATTTACTTTTACTTTCCAAATATTTACTGTTGTATTAAATGAATGAATGATTTTCAGTAAATGAATAGCTATGAAAGAACAGTGTCTGTGGTTACATATGCATGCCACATCTGCTTTTTTGGAGTTGTAAGACAATTAAAATGAGAACAGAACAGAAAAATCACCTATTTCTGATCACGGTCCCTCTGAATACTCACATAAAATATTGTGGTTTTGATTTAAATAATTTTAAAAGTTCTTGAAGTCAGATTATAATAAAATGTTGGTGTGTATGTGAACATAGACAGTGAATCTTTGTATTATCATAGTGAAAGCATTCATGTTGATGTTTGAGTTTGAACCTTGTCCTCCTCCATTTTCTGCCTTCGTTTCTCCTCCACAGCAGCGCGCCTCTTCTCTTCCTTCAACCTCTGCTCCTCGAGTTTTTTCCTCTTCTCCTCCAGGTGTCTCTCATAGTGCTGCCGTGCCCGCTCCTCCCGCGCCTGCCATGTGGCCTCCTTCACCGCTGGAACGGGCACAAAAACCGTCACGTGTAGAGGGGGGCACATGCTCACTCACGCTGGATTTGTACATAATCATAAGCACAAACACACTGCATACACCAGGCTTAGGGCAGGAGAGCGGTGGTCAGTCCAGTCATGTGACTCGGCTTAAATCAAAACAAAACGTCCTCTAATGAACAAAGATGGTCGTCTTTAACCGTCACAACAAAATGACTGACCGCAAACTGAGCACTGGGCCGAATCATTTTGGAAAAACATTAAAATAATGCTTGAGATTAGACTTCACAAATAATTCTTTAAATCACAATTCATTTACACACATTTTAGACATGTCCAGGGACATTAATATTCATGACAAGAGTTTAATATGAGTTTTAATATGCATGCATTTGAGAACATGTTTGCACAGTGTGAGGTGAGCAAATAGCAAAAAAGTTATTTGTTCTCCTATTGACAATACATTTGCAAACTAAACTATTTTTCAGATAGCCACATTCACAAAATCTCTCTAAACCCTGTCCCATGTCCCAAATCATTATGTAACAGCGCCATGGCAACAGCAGTGCCAGGCTCAAGCTTGACTTTTATGCAACTGAAGCAACAGGCTTCCCACCACAGCCAACGAACTACAACTTATAGAGGAAACCACAAAAGCTAGGGCTGTCTAGATCAAAACTGCAATTGGAATAAACAGTTAAAATTATATGATGTCTTCTATAAAAAGAAAATGTATGCAATGCATTTCACTGTATTAAACAAAATGCTGTATATTAGAACTATGGTATGTTCTATGCTGACCCTTGAAGTCTGTGTTATTAGGTTCTTTTTTCAGAACAAGAGCTTGTTTTCATACCTGACTGTTTCGACTGCTCACTAGCAGTCTTCCTCAGAGTGGTCACATGATGTTGCTGTGACTTGTCTGGTCAGCTGATTTATACAGGTTTTGGTGCTGTCTTCCTACAGGTGGAGGAAAGATGACAGTGCCATCTGCAGTCTGACTTCCTCAGGACAGTATACCAGGTGTGTGAGAGTAAAAAAAAGCCCCCTTGTCCTGGTTTATAGTCCCGTGGGCACGTTTCCATATTTCGATTGCCTCTTCAATCCAGCAACTGTGTTTATTTAACTCTGTCCCAGTGATGTTTGCTCCGTCCCAGTCCATAATGTGGTTCTCTATTTTACAGTGGTCAGAGATGACCGAATTGGGTTATACCTGTGTTTCTTTGCGTTTCGTTGCTCGTGGCACACCTTCGCACATTCTTCTCACATTTTGACCTATGTTAATTTTTTCATGTACTGAACACCCTCCCTGTTTCCCCTATGTATGTTTTACTGCAGGACATACAGCGTATTTCATATATGACATTACATTTATGCTCCGGTTCTCTTTTGTCACCTGTGATACTGTCCAGAGGAAGACTGCAGATGGCGCCGTCATCCTGCCTCCACCGGAAGGAAGACAGTGCCAAAACATTTATAAATCAGCTGACCAGACATGTCATAGCAACATCACATGACCGCTCAGAGTGCTAGTGAGCAATCAAAACTGTCAGATATGAAAACAACAAACATAAAATTCATTCAAATTCATTGGGCCTTGAAGTCTGTTCTCTCAAATGCTGTTATTCCTGGATTATTTTAACTGAAGAAATCTAATGACAATTACAATTTGATGTTTTCTATAATTGTTCAGCACTTTAGCATATAGAGTGGGTAAGTATTAAAATACATACCATTTTGCTTTTCGCGCTCCTCTCTGCGCTCTCGGGCCAGCCTCAGCCTCTCATCTATCTTGTTGAAGAGCAGGGAGTCTGTAGAGCACAGCTAGATTATTCTAAGCAACTATATTTACAATAAACATAATTGAACAAGTCAAAATATCCAGTGGTACCTGTTTTGGTGGCAGCGTTGTTGCACGGGCTGTTGCTGGTGGTGACAGTGGGGGTCGGGGTGGGGGTAGGGGTCAGGGTGGGGGAGTAGGTTTGTCCGGAGCCAGAGGAGTCGGGCCGGGTGCCTGCTGACGATCTGCCATCTTCTGATTTGTACTGAATGTAGGAGACTGCAAAATACATACAAATAAACAGACATAAGCAACATATTTCAAGAACACCTCAGTGAGATCGCTTTAAACTTCTCCCAACATCATATTTTAAGATAAATTTGATAATCTGGTAATATGCTGGTAATCTTGTATTATGTTTATGTGTCTTTGCCATAAGAACACGGACAGAAGAGGTCATATAATATAAAGGAGCCCTATGCATTTTTTCTAGTGTGGGGACTACCTGCTTATATCTGCAGAGATGCTACAGTATGCCATTAAACATATCTATCGTGTGTTCTTCAGTTAGAAGTGTTAATATACATCGGAAAACATGCATTCTTATTGAACATGGACAGACCCCTCCACAGAGCTGACCTGTAACTTAGCCTGGAGCTGGGTAACAAAGCTTGTATCCTGCTTGTCTCCAAGAATGGATAGTTAAGTGTAATTCCATACTGTGGAACATTTCAAGCAAAGCATAACATCCATGGACCCAAAGCAGTTGGTGGAAGTACCCACACTTTCCAGAAAAGTTGCATAGCACCTTCAAACATAGCTTTGTCCACCCATGTTTCTTTAGTCAAAGTTACAGACTGTGTGCAAACTAGCAGCAACCACCACACAATGATATGAACGCTGGGCAAATTCTTCCTCAATGTTTAGATATATTAGAGTGTTTGCGATGTATAAAAATAACAAAATGCTGTTTACAGGGATTATGCAGAATGCTAAAAAGCTTGACACAAAATAAGCAGATAGAAGGAGAGGGGGGATTCTGGGCCCAGGCCAGACCCAGGCAACACCTCTCTCTGCTGCAGTACAAGCTGACTTAAGCCCAAAATCATATTAGACCAGCTGTGCCCCTGCTCTGTATTGTTCCCAGTTCTGTGGAGTGTTTCCCCCACTCAGAGAAAACATATTGATTAATGACACCGTGGGGCTCAGCGTGACTCAGCACTTTGGCTAAGTCCTTCAAATAGTCCTAAACTTTACATAGCTTTAACATTATCATAGCACTAAATAAAAAACACAAAAAGGTCTATTCAACAAACATTGTATACAGTTGCAGCGTTTCACACCTCTTATATTGACAGTATTTTTTTCTGTTGGGTTAGGGACATGCTAGTTTACCTAGTATATGAATACTGTTGACACAAGATGAGAACAAAGTACAAGTTGTGTATTTACTAAGACGTGATGTCATGGTCTCATACAGAGCAGGTTGATCAATGGGAGGTCCACATGTACATACTGGGGCACTCTGGCAGACTGCCTCAGTGGCTATTGTAATAAAGAGGAGTGGGCAGGATGGCGCTACTAAAGGGCTGCAAGAATAACTATGCACAGAACATACTTGCAGTTTCAATAGTTGCAATTGAAAGATCTCAAATTGTTACTTTTAAAGGTGCACTGTGTAACTTGGTGGAGAATTCATCACCTGCACCATGGATATGTTATTACTGCTGTTCATTATAACAAAGAGTATGGCATTAAACATACATTGAGATTAAAAATGCATACATACATAGAGCAACTAACACCTCATTAGGATATCATTATTCAAAAATTCTGTCCTAGTATTGCAAAAGAAAAATTCAATTCTGTCAACTGGACCAAAGTTTTTCTGAAGAAGCTGCTAGGATGAGCTGTGAAATGTTTTCACTCAAAAAATGTTGGTCCAGTTGACAAACTAGAAATTTTCTTTTGCTATAGATCCTACCTGGACGACTGAGGGATTAAACAGACAGCATTAGCATTGGTAATCTGCTGTTCTCTCCGAACAAAAAGAGACAAAGACCATTAAAATTAAAAGTGCAATTACAGCAAACTGTTAAATGGCATAAATTACTTTTCAGCTTTTCAACATGTGTAATTAGATTCTGTAAAGTAGATCCTGTGACCTTTAGATTCAGCTACACACAGTAAATAAGACGGAGGTGTCAGAGAGGAGCTTTCTCTCTTCGACCTTAACTGGGCCAATTCACTGAAAGGAGCTGGGAATGCTCCGCTGCACACGAGATGAGACACTTTCCAACTTTAAACAGTCTGGCTGAGTGTGGAGAGGTTAGATGCCCCACTGGTCACTGCAAGCAAACCTGCTTTTTCCAATCACCAATCAATTACAGCTATTGGTCAATAAAAAGCTGTTCATCCATCTGATACTCATAAGTAGTAAAATGTCCAACAGCAGTGTGGATTTTATAAATACCCTTTTCAGTTATGGTCGGTAAGCTCAACATATTTACTCTCACGCATAACAGCTGTTTAACAACGTCTGCAAACACACACTTGGATACAGGGCACTGCTATATGCACCATTCAAACATCAATTTCACAAAGCGCCAATGTCGTCTTGGAGAGTAGACAAATAATATATCAGGTTGCCATTTTTGCATTTGCATGTTTCAAAGTATGGGAAAATACAAGTAATAAGTTAATTTTATTTTATAATTTGAAATTATTATTTGTGTTCATCTTCATCTTTCATTTGTAGATACTAAACAATAACCAAAAGTCAAATACGGACACATCAATAGCTTAGGTGACATGTTTTACCTGGAATTTTCTGCTCAGCTTCAGGGGCATCATCCCAGAATCGGACATTCAATTTCTGGTTCATGTCCTGCTTTAACTTGTTAGACAGGAGAGCCAGAGCACAGCTACTTCCTGGTAACATCCTACACCAATGATAAGCTATAATCCAAAGTCCATGGTTTGGAGACGGAAGAGGACCCAAAAGAAAGTGAAACAGGACTCAGGGGTCTCAGAGTTCCAGTGGAGGATCAGCAAAGATGGGAGCGAGGTGTCAGCGAGGAACCATGTCTGTGTGATGTTGTGGGACAGGTTGGGACAGACACACATTGGGACAGTGTTTAATCTGCCCCTCCCTTTCTAAGCCACTGTGTCTATGTTTCTGCTCCCCCCATCCCCCCATCTCTCCACATTCACTAGCTTTCAGATTAAATGGTCAGAGTTAGCGATTAATGCTGCACGGGACAAGCCAGTGGGTAGCAGAGCAAACTGTTCACTCCGGCCTCCTCCATGAAGCTTGAGAGGATTAGCGGCTGCTAATGCTAAGCTAAACACTGAGCTTGAATCAGCACAGAGGCAAAGAGGTAGGACTCGAGTCTTTGTTTTACAGCTGCAGGAGAGTGCTCCAGGGCTGAACAACAGGTGCACAGAGCATCACTTAGGGCAAGAGTGGAAAACACAACATGGACAGAGTGTAAGACTTAAATTCAAAACAAATCTACAATAAAATCCATCACTTAGACAGTCTGAGGCACTTCCCTGTGGCTTACAGAGCTCCCAAGTGGCTCTTAATTTTGCTCTTCCTCTGTATCGTCTATTATTTATAGTGGGCCACACAGTAATCAGTTCTTCATTATTCATCACTAAATGCACTCTATAGCCAATATAATTGTCCAACTTTGGGCAAGACATTTGACCAACACTGCAAATTACACAACCAAGCCTGCAGTGGGTCAACGAGAGAACTGAACCACCCATTCTCCAAACAGACAACAAGCTTGATGTTTTTGCCACAAATTTGCTGCCATTGGGCAAACAATTGAATTGTAAATCAGAATTTGTAATTAAGTGTTAAATTTCAGCCTAAACCCTTTCAGTCTTTAGAATAACTTAAGTGATATGCATTATTCATTTTCAGTTCTTCTTGGCTGTCCCAAATGAACTAAACTAACTAAAAACAAATACTTATTTCATCACCATTATTTCACTGCATGTGTTTATTCTGCTCTCACATGTAGAACTTTAAGTGTAAGTTACACTATTGATTTGGAGTTGGTTTGGGGCGTTACTTCTACAGAGGCTGTGCAGTGCTCCTGACTGACTGCTGTGCTTACTGAAGCATTTAGACACTTGTGTGAAATGGACAGTTCCTGTGCCTCTGTCCTGTGTTGTCAGCGAGACAGGTCCAAACCCTCACACGCCATCAAACCTGCAGCTCCATCAGGACCTCTGCTGCAAAAACCATGACAAAACCCTGGAGGAAAACTTCAGCTCAAAGCAAACATTAACATCCTGTAAAGTAAAAACAACCTTTGCTCATATTTAGTTTAAACCGGTTTTGCCATCATTCGTCCATACCATGTGCATCACTCCACTTTTTTTCCTTTATAAAGTTCCATATTTTTGAATGAAGAGCTTTGATCAGTTTCTGGAGTTTTACAGCATGTTGACCATTAACATGTTTCACATTTTGTCTCGAGCAAGAATACTCCCCATTTCTGCCCAGACATAATTCATATACAAATCACATGCATGATTTGGAGTTGTCACAGCCCACGTCTGCCCTGTACCTCTCTTTCTCCTTCTGCTGGGGTCCTTGCGTTTGTGTCCCTCCTCTTCCTCAGTGATCGTGAAGAGTGCCGGGATGGCTGAGCGGCTGCTGCCCTTCCTCAAGCTCCACTTGCCTTGGACATTTGCACCCAGTCCTCCTCCTCTTGCTTTCTGTTTTTTACTTTCAGGCATCGCCAACTCTTCACTTTGCTAACCCTGAAGCAGCTGGCTACCTTGCCTGACCCCTGGCCATCCCACCTGCCGCAGGACCACAATGGGCTGAGTGTAAGATGCTCAGAGCAAAACGCTGAAGGAGATGGACGGGTCACCCCTAAAGCATTTCAGTTACAGTTGCTGCAGTACATCCCAGCTACCTCGAGTCAGCAAAAAACACAGAGCTCCAAAACAGTGTTCAAAGGCAGAGTGTGCACAGCCCCATGCTCCTGTGGCAGCAGTGGCATGTGCAGTGATGAAGAGGAAGAGGATGCTGCGCTCTCACCCTGGATGAGCTGCTGTGCTGTCGCTTACAAACACACACTTAATCCACAAGACCGGCTCGATGAAAACGCAGGATTTCTCTTCTTGTCTTTAGTCTCTCGTCACTCCTCCTATGAGGCTGCTGCTGCCACTGCTGCATCCTGCTCCTCCCTCTCCACTGTCCTGTCACACTTGCACTATGCCACACTACATAAAGAGTAAGGAAAGAGCTGTTAAAATATTCATTCACAGAGGAAAGAGCTGGAACCGGAGGTGGTTTCCCTGATGACAGCAGCACATGGACCACTGATGCTGAAGAGATGCATAGGGAACTTTGATGTGACACACACTTATCAATGGGATGAGCCTGAGCACACACCAGATCAAACATTACAGCACTGAGCTGGCACTGAGAGGGGGGGTGTGGTCAGGGAGCACATGGTACTAAGCCCCACCCACTTTAGTTTTAAAGTGCCAAGAGTTTATCAAAGAGGAATGGGGAAGCCTCATGATGTTAACAGTCAACAAAATGGAGAGACAGTATGTTGATAAAACAATGATCATGAAAATGTATTTACTGTATCATTCTCAAGCTGTATTCATGCACAAACCAACCAAAGGAAAGGGTTAGCTCAGTATCAGAAGGTTAACGATTGGAGTGCATGCAATGACTCTTGAGTCTTAAACTGAATTTTTCTTTTTTCCCCCTAAATTTTGTTTCAAAGTTGTATTTATCATTATGAAAAGCATGGGTGTGATTCCTCTTCTCCTTCACAGCTGTCTCAAGAAAAGGATGTGTGGATGATTATTTCTGTAATACAATGGGTTCATCATGATTGTTTACAGTGATTGTAGGGTTGGTTAGGAGTTATATTTCAGCACACCTAGCCACACTGATAATCATATCAATTTCATACCACGCCTTTGGAGACTGAATTCATGAACTCTGTTACCAAAAGGGCAGATTTAAGTGACAATTTTACATTTTAGGGTACCTTACACAGTGTTTCCCATAGACTTTGTTTACACTATGGGGGCCCACCATAGTCTATTCTGTTAATGGGAAACACTGCTTACATGTTATTTTAAAATTATGGATCAGATACAGAAAAGTATCCTAAAATGCTAACAAGCACGTTGCATGTTAAACTTGGTCTATCTGAGCCATATGAATATATAGTCAGCCTTTCTAGCGCTCTTATGTTTCTAATATTTAGGCTGTACAAGTCCACTAACAATTACATTAGACACATCCGAAATTCTGCACTGTGGGTAGGTTGGTTTCCAGTTTTCATACTAAATGGGAAATAAAGGAATTTGCGATGTCCAATTGTTGAAAAGCCCAAGGGAGCACACATACACACATTCATGAAAGGGCAATCTGATCTTTGTCCCTGCAGGATAGTGTAATGCTGTAATCCTACACTCGGGACTTTAACCAGATACGGCTCCCAATACACGCCCTTCTCACACCTTCTCAATGAGTGTGTGAGCGATGCAGGTTTAAGGGGATATCTACTGATTCATGAAGGGAAATCTACCAACAAAAGAGCTTGAGTCAATGCAAAAGTAGCTTGAGGACGAGGCAGACAATTATAGGCCAAATAAGGGTGGCACCAGATTAGTCATATATAGACATAGAGGCACTGTAGCAATCAAAAACCTATGCTTAGTTGAATAAGTGAAAGGGAATTATCAAACAAATCTTTGACTACTATTTACAAGCATCAGCAATGTAAGGCAGCTATTTCCACCCCTATTTAGCATTCCTCTAGCAGTGCTCTCATCAGCGGATAAAACCTCAGATAAAAAATTTAAAACAGGTTATAACTTGAATGTATCGAAACAATGAATGTCATAATCAGAAAATGTAAATGCTTAGCAGTATTTAAAACAAACAATTAGTAGAGTAAATTGAATGGATGCCAGAATGACTTGACTATGACTTATGCTTGTATAACAGGTGATGCCAGTTATGTGTTTAGCTTAGTCAAATGAGTGCAGCTATAGCTCCCCTGATTAGAATAATCAAACATGAAGACCATAGAAAAATGCAAATAAAATACAAAATATGCTTTAGACCAGTCAATAAATGCCTTGTCAGCAGCAGAGATCAGTTGTACACGCATGTGAATAGCTACTTGTGAATGTAAATGTATTAAATATTCAATATTTTTCGAGTTCGTGCTCTCGAAGACAATATTTCAGAGTTATGACTTATCATAAAAAAATGAAGCAGGACCACATAACGTGTAATGTAAGAATTAAGCCGCAGATTACACTCGCAGGTGAACTATTTTACTGAACAATCTTGAACAAACATGTATTTTGTATTTTGTATTTTATATTTTGAAGCTAAATTGCCAAAGCTGGACCAACAGCTAACCACATTAGCTCTGGCTCACCTGGCGCGGCGCTGTGCGTAAACTCACCTGTCAGCGTCAAATGCTTTTTCTCAAAATGTCAGCAACAGGTGTCTGGCAATTTAAGCGCAGCTCAAGGCAATCTTTAAAATACGTTTTATACAGAGTCATAAATAACAAAATGAGAAATGTCGTGTTTAATAGCCGTAAAGTAACCGGTTGGATGAGTCGGTAGCTTTAATCCTACTCCCGTGACCTGGGGATCCAACTTGAGTCCTCTCTTTCAGTGAGCCTCACGTCTCAACTCAACCCAAACGAAATGAAAACAAAACGCCTAATTCTGCAAAGAAGTTTTCACGAAGTTTCTTATGTCTGGAAGTTTGTTGGAGTTGAGTTTGGTTTCGGTTCACTCACCTTGGGACTCGGGAGGAGATGCGTCGCTGCCATCCAGGTCCGCCATTTCTCTGACGTCAGCTGAGAGGGATCAGCGCTGGACCCAAAGGATCTGCCGTGGGACCTGCTGCTGACGGGACACCCTGTATGGGCAGGTGGGTGGAGGCGGTACACACTTAACAAATAGGGGCTGAGATTGAGTAGATACTCTATTAATAATCTAATAAAAACAGAATAAATCTAGGTTGTGACCTGAGTCGGTTTAACCAGTAATGTCCTGCTCACTATCAGTGTTCATTCATGCATAGCCCCTCTAAACTTTATTTTTTATTTTTTATACGACAAAAGGCTCAACAAATTGTACTTTACCCTCTCAAAACCTTCAAAGTCATCATCTGAGTTTGGGTGCCATCTGCTGGTCGCGGGTTCACTGTGCGTAAAATGGCGTGAACAAGTCCAATTGTTTAATGGCTGGAGACACGAACATTCATAGAGCTTAATGTTGCTGAAGTTCACAGAGACAGAATTGTGTTTCGGTGTTAAAGGCTTTGTTAAAGATTGATGTAGCCATTGCCACTCTAAACTAGTTGGCTTCCATTACAATCCTGGCAACAGAAAATAGCATGGCTGCATTTCATTAAAGAAGCCAAAAGAGTTACGGTCTCTGCAGACAATGCTGTTAGATCAGCGACCATATATATAGTTGCATTTATCATCACTGTCCAGAAGGATCTTTTGGGAAGGATGCCCAAAAGAATGGACGTGAGCTGTTACCAGATTACCAGCAGAGGGAGCTATCGTCTTAGTTGTACTTGACTCCTCCAAATGTCTTTATTTTATGTCTACTAGGGTCATTAGAATTCAATACCACATTAAGATAATGCAATATTTATAATAAATGTGGCTTCATGCAAATACAGAATATTTCCATGCTTGCTTTATAATGGTTTTGTTTTATTTGTTTGTGGTCACAACATCTTTGGAAAAAAAAAAATAACACATCCAGTCAAACTAAACAATCTAAAATACAAAAACATAGGGCTCATCATATTTCTTGTATTGCTGAGGGATAATTGGCACAGTGCCTTAACCCGCCCACTGTTATTTGATTAAGGATTTACTGTTCCTGGCTAAATGTATGCTAATCTCCATCCCTATCATTCCCATTTCCCCAGACTGCTCTCTTTCACCCCCTGCTTGTGGATCACCAGTAAAACAAGCCGGGATTGGCTGGTGGGAAAACAGCTGCCATGGTAACCAGCTGTTTGGATGTTCTGCTGATGGAAGAGGAGGAGAGAGATATTAGCCTGTAGCTATGTGCTCTCAGTTCAAAGCTTGGGTTAGGATACTGTCGACCAGCGGTTCTCTGTGTGGAATTATAAGATCTAGTATATTTCTAGATTTAGCGTAGTTTAGCTGTGGTGTAGTGTTACTTTTGACTAGATAGAACTGGTTTATTCCTGCCTTAGTTTATATGTGGTGATAGTTGATGTTCATTCCTCTGCTGTGTAGCTGCATGATGCACTTGCTTGTGTCCATAACCTTGCTTGTTTAGGTCCAGCCCCTTTAGACACTAACCACTGCTGCCCCAATTCACAGCATTAAATGTTAGTTATTGTCTTCCTCTGGGCTGTTTTTCCTTTGAAACTGAGGGGCTAAGCTAAAAGGACCAGGGGTGGAGACAGGGGTCAGAATGTGCCCACTGTTCATGATGAAAGCCTCTCCAAACTGTCTGTAATTGGTTCCCATGGGAGACTGGACTCTTAAGATTCACCCCGAGTAGAAGCAGTGCCTATAGATTCTCCAATAAGTCTATACAAAGAAAACAAATATGCAAAGCTTGAACACGAGTGAAGGAGGGACGGGTAATGTCTGAGACTTCAAAGAGTGGGAGTCAGACTTTTCTAATTGAGCTTGTTGATTTGTTGCTGATGATTTTAGTAAATGAAGAGTGTGGGT